AAAGAAAATGGTTAGAATTGAAACAGACTTTGCATCACATGACCGCGGCATTCCCACAGCAATCCCACGTAATACGTCACAGTGACACGGGAGATAACGTTATATTTTATATGTATTAGTTTCAATATAAATATATAACAAGCCTTTTACCTCTTTTAAATTGTAATGTATATGTTTATTAAATTAAAATTATAAGCGAGTTACTACCCACTAGCCACCAAAGCTGCAACTACTAAGCCAACTAACCCAACAATAGATAAACTAATTTGGATCTAAAAATTAACTATTTGAAAATTAGCCTGACACTACTTTTTAAACTTAAATTGTCCCCCAAAGTAGCTGCCGGCTTCTGATCCGCCGTCTTTTTGAAAAATACCACTGTGTAGTGTGGGTAATTTTTCACCAAGGCTAGGCTACAAGACAGCTATGGGGCTAGACCCGTGCCCAAAACCCATGCACGCGAGGATTCACATAATATAATATAAAATGTAAAGTGCACCAAACCCTTAGACTCAAGTCCCATTCAACAATTCTACTAAATGGACAATTATGTAAACTCATCAATTAATTATTTGAAAGGATAATTTGTCAATTAATGAGTTCTGAAAAAATAAACAATACATTAATGAGGACAAGAACATTTTGTAAAGCTTTTTAGTTTTAACAATGAACAACTACACCCACTAGTCTGATTTGTACTCTGGAGAGTCTCCTCTCAAGAGTGGCTGGTACTGATAAATATTACAACTTTTGACAGAATACAAATCTCTCTCTCTCTCTCTCTCTCTCTCTCTCTCTCCTCTCTCACTCTCTCTCTCTCTCCCTCTCTCTCTCTCACTCTCTCTTCTCTCTCTCTCTCTCTCTCTCTCTCTCTCTCTCCTCTCTCTCTCTCTCTCCTCTCTCTCTCTCTCCTCTCTCTCTCTCTCCTCTCTCTCTCTCTCTCTCTCTCTCTTTCTCTCTCTCTCCTCTCTCTCTCTCTCTCTCTCTCTCATCTCTCTCTCTCTCTCTCTCTCTCTCTCTCTCTCTCTCTCTCTCTCGAAGCCCCACTCTAAGGGCCTTCGCAGTGTATTAGTGACTCATATATTGTACAGCCACACTCATAAAGTTTTCAATCAGTATTTTTATTTCAGTATGTATTTTTCCAGTATCACAAAAAATGTAATTTTATATGCTTAAAACCATCTAGCTTATGTGCACTTTTTAAAACACTGCCCAGCAAACATTCGGACGTTTAATTACAGTTGAACGGTCACAACTGTAAAATAATATCACAGGAATTAGGAAAAAAAAACATAACACCTACTCTATTTTCCTTGCCGCGACTCGAACCTGGACACTCCGGGGGAAGAGTCACCCTCTCTACCAGCTGAGCTATGACAACAACTACTGAATATCAGTTTTTTTATATAGCTGCCATCATTTTGTCTGACAGGAAGCCAATGGGCCAATGAGGTAGAGGGTAAAGTGTGGGCAAAACTAACCAATCAGAGGACAGAGAAGATCTGCCACAGGCCACGCCTCCAGAGTGCCAAAACCCCTTAACAGCCGAGCGAGCGGAGTCAGAAAACCGAGCCGCGCAGAGAGGCTGCCGCGCGTGCACGTTTTTCTCTGCCGTGTGCTCGTTGGCAACGCACGCACGCAGGTTTGTCACTTGTGCACATCCTTGTGCGCTCACAGATACAGTTTGCTCCCTCTCAGTGCACAACTGACCTCTCGGCCATGTATATTTTCACTCGCGAGTCCCATTCACGACGCGCGATGTGGACCCGTTTTGGCACGGGTCTAGCCCCATAGACACCTCCCATGTGTCCTTGCTCAGCTAGCTAAACGGCTAACAAATGGAGAACACACGCCTCGGTTGAACATGAACATTGGAACTGATTTGAACATGTCTTGGCGGCTCCTGATGACGTATCTCCTAGGCAACTGGGGCGGGGCCAAGACATCAAGGCAAGGTTCCGTGACATTGAGAAACACCCACTGTGTCATCTTCCTGCAGTTTGCACGTTTTTTAAACTAAAGTAGGTGACGCAGGTCTGTGTTTCTGATTTAATCTATACATTTTAATATCACCAACCAACATTTACGGATCCTGGTTGGTAATGTACCCAGCTTTGTTTAACCTCTAATGATCAGAGATAAGCTTAGTGTTTTTAAGTGAGTACTGTCTAAAACAACATTTCAGTTCGCATGAATAAAAAGATAAACCTACTATATGTTAAACAGTCTCTCTGCACTGTGAAGCTCTGTAGAAATGTACCTGCTTTGGTTTGAATAACTTTAATTCACGTATGATATGTTATCTGCATGTTTGCGTAGTTAAAAATATTAAATTACATTTTTGGATTGAATGGCTAAGATAAGTTTTGAGGATAAATACATATTGACTGGGAAATTGTTCTTTTCTACAGTTTTCATTCATTTTTGGAACATATTAAACTCCCACATGACAAAAAATCTTAATAATAGTATTATTATTATTTTTTTTTTCTATGTGGACCAATATTGAAGTAGTCTTAATATTTTTATTTTCAGTTAATACTCTGTGCACATTTACCATTCTTGAAGACTCATGATGAAAAAAGTGTTTTTAGTTAATATGGAAACTGGAGCACATTCCATAACAGGTTCCCACAAATAGTACTGGACAGATATGAGGTGATACAGTAAGGTAGAGGGTGTGAACAGAGGAGAAGTGAGGAGGTATGAGAGAGTAACTGACTGAGAAATACTTGCCTTTTTGCCCTGTTGCGTCCCCGGGTAGATAACGTCAGGGAGAGGCAAAAGTAAAAAGACAAAAGATGACAAAAATGAATTCATCATCTGACAAATGGTGTCATATTTGCAGAATGATGCTGGAACTTGTGAATATTTCCCAGAGTAAGTCATGAAAAACTATGCTGCAATGAAGGAATACTAGCTAATTCAAAAAGCACTTTGCACATATCATTATGGAAGACGGACACATCACCTAAAGGTACAAAAAAAAAACACACACACACAAACACAAGACTGAGTGATTTATTTTCTCCTAAGCTCTCCTTCCCCCGACTCTGGAATTCATTTAAACTACCATCTTGTTATTCTTATCTCATAAATGACATGACAGGCATCAATAGCCATCATTCACTTGTCTCTTAAAAAGGAAGACTTTTGGACAATCCTTTTAAAATATATTGACTCATGCGGTGCAGTCTGCAAAAGCAATTACTGAGCCCTGGGTTTCCTTGGGGTCTTGAAATTCTGGTGCAGGATGAAACAATGTCTTTCACATAAAACATAACAAGCAGATTCATTGTCACTCTGTCTCTATGGACTGGGCAAGGTGTCTAAGTCTATTGGTTTTCCACTCCATTTGTTTATTCTTCTCTTTGCTTATCTGTCAGCATCTCTTCTACCGCATTATTAGCTCATTTATTCAACAAATACAGCATTCCTCCTATTATTAAGGATTAAGAAAAAAATATATATCTATACAATTAGCCATGACACCCTTAGTGAGAGACCCTTACTAATGTATTCGGAGGGCAAGTGGCTGCAGAAACCACCTACTGCATGATAGATTGAGGTTTAGGTGGTCTGGCTCCATTGTGAAACCCTATACGGCTGAAGAGGGAACTTTAGAGCCCCAAATTCCCATCAGAGTAGTCTGTAGCAGTACGGCATGGTGTGTAGCTTTCTTTAACAGACCCGTAAATGTGCTGACAGCATTTATGGCACAGTGACAGACTCAGCGGAGAAGTAGTGAAATAGAGGCTGAAACAAGTCACTCAAAATCTCATCTGATAGAACAACTGCACAGCTAGTTGTTTGGAACGTCACTTCAGAGTCATGAAAGTTTCACTCAAGCCAGATGCTGCGTGCTGAATCGTCTCATTTGATCAAAGCTACCAAACCTTCTATCGAGTCACCATCAAAGATCCATCCAGCCCTTAAATCAAAATATTAACTGCTGCTAAAGCGAGTAGTAAACCGAGCAGAAGATGATATCATCTCTAAATGGTAAGAAGTAAAAGATGAAACAATGGGTTCAATAATTCTGACAAAACTAATAAAACATTTTTCTGATCTCAATTACATTTATGTAGCTTGAATGGTTTAATACTTATTGTATAATTATTTTGGCCAAAGTGTGTTTCTGAAAGTAATCAATACATTTTTTATTACTCGTTGTAAATTCCTTTATGAATGACCACCATCAGTTTTGTGTTGCATTAAAATTGACAGATATTATTTACACCCGGATTAACTAAAGATAAGTGTAACAATTCAGGTGCAAAGAACCAGAGGTCACTCGATTTCTGTCAGCAAGTAGAATACAGTTCATGCAGAATCTTTAAAAATTGTCCGAAAAATAAATGAAAAACATTTGTCAGGAAATAACAGTTGAGTTGTGTTTAACAACCAATCAAGTTTACAAACAGCAAAAATCATTTTTTGCATGGTTGGTTTTAACAAGAGAGCTTCAACATGCAACAAGAAATGGCAGCGGGACAAATACGCATCTGAGCAGCAATTCATTGAAAGCAAGGATGAAACTGACCTGTGCTCATGGGCACAATACTTCCAGTTCTTGATATTATTGTAATGTGAACTGTGTGTGTGTGTGTGTGTGTGTGTGTGTGTGTGTGTGTGTGTGTGTGTGTGTGTGTGTGTGTGTGTGTGTGTGTGTGTGTGTGTGGTTCTTATTTCGGCGGGGCTACTGGTTAATTTCTGTACGACATTTTGACCTGGTTTTTGCATAAACAGTGCTTTATAAATAAGCCAGTTAATTGAAACTAAAACAGGCTGTTTTGCAGCTGATCAAAAGTAAATTACTACGTCTTTAAAAAGACAAATATATGCAAATATGTGGATTTTTGTCATTTTCTGTCAGGTCACGCTGTCATGTCATTCTGATGGAAAAGGCAAAAAAAAAAAATTCCCTTTTTGAACTTGATCGGGTTGTTGAACTGCATAACAAGGGTCTCTTGCAGCGTACAATCACTACTGAGGGTGGGACGCAATAAGACAGTCATTTCTAATTTACTAAATGATCCTGATCAATAAAAAAAAAGAATCATCAGCAAGGCATCGGACGACCCAATTGGCTGTCACGACACTGGACAATCCTCACTGCACCGTAAGGTCATTAATGGTGCCAATTGCAGCCCCGTGAACATCAGACCACATCTGAGACTGAGGGGCTTAAAAAATAATAATGGTTATATATAATGGTCATAGACCTTGTCTCTTTCAACGCAGCGGAACTAACTGTTTGGACTTTTGCAAGAGAGCACTAAAGTGGAAGAATGTTTTATTCTCTGATGAGAAAAAAAAAACCTCGATGGCTTCCAACATTACTGGCATGCCAAGCAGATCCCACATGAGGTGTTTTCTACTTGCCACAGCAGAGGGCGACATAATGGTGCATGGTGGCACAGTTGTTAGCACTGGTGCCTCGCAGCAAGAAGGTTGCAGGTTCAAAACCCGGCTGCTGTCTTTCTGCGTGGAGTTGCATGCATGCGTGGGTTTCCACTGGGTACTCCGATTTCCCGAGATCACAACATGCCCTATAGGTTAACAATTGTACGTCGCTTTGGATAAAAGTGTCTGCCAAATAAATAAACATAATGATATGTGATGCTTTTTCATTCACTGAAATAATAGAGCTGCAGTAGGTGCAGGGGCATAAAAGACTGCTGGCTATGTCCAGATGTTGCAGAGAGCATCCTTAGCTAAGGGCCCTCATCTGTGTGGTAACCACTAGGTTTTTCAACAAGACAGTGCTACAGTACATAATTCCAGCAGGACTTTTTTCAGGAGAATACCATCACTCTTTTGGATAATCCAGCAAGTTCCCTTGGTCTAAAACCAATTGAGAACCTTTGGGGATGGCTGCCAAGGGAAACTTAGAAAAATGATCTCAGTTCCAGCCAGTACATCCTGAAATGTTTCGACTCACCTCATGGAAATGCTTGCATCAAGCATGCTGCAACAATAACAGTGGAGCTACTCATTACTGAGTTCATGTTTGAAACTTTGATTTCTGTTTTGTGAGGGGATACAGATTTTTGGAGGTGTGGTCTTAAACCTCTGATCAGCTGCTAAACAACCTGTTTTAGTTTCAACGTTGCTTTCAGTAATTTTCAGAAAACCAAACCACCAAATAGTTCCCGAGCGCGACCACGTCTGCTCACCGCTCCCCCTGGGGAATGGTGACAACTGTGAAACTTTAACTTTGCTCAGAAAATATTTTCTAACACTCACATTTCTTCTTGTTGCACGTTGAAGCTCTACTTTGATCCATGCTTTCGTTCTTTTTTAAACACAGAAACAGTTTTGTTTACCTGTTTGTAGCTACGGTTTCGCCGACAGCTGCCGGCTTCTTCAGGCTGACGCTGATGGTGGCGCGTCACTTCCTTCTCCGTTTATCTGCGGGCAGCAGAGGACGTTGTCGCCCTCTACTGCCCGCTCTCCCCTCTCCGACGATGCAGTCCCATGCGTGGTCCAGCGTGTAAACTCCGTCGTCCCTGTTCATGGTCCCACATCCACGTCTCCTTATCTCTATTGCTTCCTTGATCCATCTTTTGTATTTTTGTTGTTCAGTGGTTATGATCCGTGTGCTGTCCCAGTCCATTATATGGTTTTCTCTTAAGCAATGATCTGTTACGGCTGACTTTTTTATTGTATTGCGGGCAGTAGAGGGCGACAACGTCCTCTGCCCGCAGATAAACGGAGAAGGAAGTGACGCGCCACCATCAGCGTCAGCCTGAAGAAGCTGGCAGCTGTCGGCGAAACCGTAGCTACAAACAGGTAAACAAAACTGTTTCTGTGTTTAAAAAAGAACGAAAGCATGGATTTACAAAGACACAGCAAGAACACACCTAAGATGTTCAAAGAGAAATACGGACAACAAGGAACGAAGGACTTCCGCCGTTTGGAACGATTACACCAGAAAAGCGCACGTCTAAGAAACCACCTTCGCTTCTGTTTAAGATGCCGGGACGAAAACATCACACCCACAAGCCTACAGCTGAAAACATCGATCCGGACCCAGACAGCACAAAATATAAAAGAAAGAGCACAGAGAGCACTGCTCAAGGAGAGGATAAGGAACGTCATAACCAAACAGAGGCGTGTGGAGGACGAACTGGAAAGAGGACACCTGGACTTGAAAAGGAATTACAAACTTGATAAACAAATGGAGGAACTAATTAAAGGACACATGATGGAAAAACAGGAACAAGAGTTCATAAAAGTGAAAGAAAGACACATAAAGAAGTTAAACAGACTCATAAACAAGAAAAAGAGGGGAGAAATACAAGGCAACTCCACACCAAACTCATGGGTATGTAACATTTCACAATACAAACTAACAGAAGCAGAAGAGAGCATATTAAAGAAAGGTTTAAACTTTGCAGTCACACCAAAAGAAATACCATATGATGAATTTATTGTAGCAACAGAACTAGCATGTCAACAGATCACAGATGAGGGAAAGAAAGCAGAACTCAGAAATAACGTAGTTGGGATATTAAAAAACAGCCAAATTCAACACAGCAATATTACAAAAGAAGAACAATCAGCCATGACAGCTTTATCCAAAAATGAACAGATAATTATTCTACCGGCAGACAAAGGAAGAACCACAGTGGTAATGGACAGAGAAAAATATAAACAACAGATGAAACAGATGCTAGAAGACAAAAATACATATGAAATACTTAAAAAAGATCCAACAGAAAACATTAAGAAAAACATGAAAAAATTACTGAAGCCACTGCACGAAAAAGGCAAAATAACAGAAAAAATGTACAAACACTGGATTCTCACAGCAAACATAACACCAAGAATATATGGAACACCAAAAATACATAAACAAAACACCCCACTTAGACCAATAGTTGACAGCATAGGTACACCAACATACAACATGGCAAAAGATATCAGCAGAATCATCAGCCCGTTATTAGGAAATACAGACCAACACTGCAAAAATAGTATAGAATTGGCAAAAGAACTAAAGGAAATTACAATAGAAGACAACGACATACTCATCTCACATGACGTCACATCTCTGTTCACAAAAACACCAACCCAAAAAACCATAGACATAGTAGTTAACAGAATCAGACAAGACAAAACTTTACATAAAAGGACAAACCTCACAGCAGATGACATAGCACAACTGATAGGACTGGTAGCTAACTCCACTTACTTCACATACGACAACACTATATACAAACAACTGGAAGGCTTCGCCATGGGTAACCCGTTATCAGCCACCCTGTGCGAGTTTTTCATGGAAGACCTGGAACAAAAAGCCATAGCCACCGCCCCCCCAAACTGCAAAATATAACTATGGAAACGCTACGTAGACGACATACTGGAAATCATACCAAAAGGTCAAACAGAAACACTAACACAACACTTAAACAATATTGAAGACACGGGCAACATACAATTCACTTATGAGTTAGAAACAGAAGGCAGCATAGCATTTATGGACATGAAAATCACCAGGCAGACCGACGGGACCCTAAACATAAACACATACAGGAAACCAACACACACAGACCAATATTTATTATGGACATCAGAACACCCCACCATACACAAAATGTCAGTAATCAGAACATTATATCACCGAGCAAACATAATAACAGAAGAGAGAGACCGTAAACAAGAGGACAAACACATGCAACACGCTTTAAAGACCTGCAGATACCCGACATGGGCAATAAACAAAGGAAAACAACAAACAAAAACAGAAAGCAAAGAACAACCCAAAAAAAGAACCAGAAACCCAGAAAGACAAGAACCAAAACCAGTGATAACCCTACCATACATCAGAGGCATAACGGAAAAAATAAGAGCAAAAATGAAAAAACACAACATAAACACACCAACAAAGCCATACACAACAGTTAGAAACAGATTAGTACACCCAAAAGACAAAATATCAGCTGGACAAAAATGTGGAGTCATCTACGAAATCCCATGCAAAATATGCAATAAAACATACATAGGAGAAACCGGACGCCAACTCAATACACGGACAATAGAACACAGAAAGGAGTGCGAGAAAGAGGCAAATCGTAAACACACAAGAGCAGCAAAAGAATAAGCAGAAAGTACAATAAAAAAGTCAGCCGTAACAGATCATTGCTTAAGAGAAAACCATATAATGGACTGGGACAGCACACGGATCATAACCACCGAACAACAAAAATACAAAAGATGGATCAAGGAAGCAATAGAGATAAGGAGACGTGGATGTGGGACCATGAACAGGGACGACGGAGTTTACACGCTGGACCACGCATGGGACTGCATCGTCGGAGAGGGGAGAGCGGGCAGTAGAGGGCGACAACGTCCTCTGCTGCCCGCAGATAAACGGAGAAGGAAGTGACGCGCCACCATCAGCGTCAGCCTGAAGAAGCCGGCAGCTGTCGGCGAAACCGTAGCTACAAACAGGTAAACAAAACTGTTTCTGTGTTTAAAAAAGAACGAAAGCATGGATTTACAAAGACACAGCAAGAACACACCTAAGATGCTCTACTTTGATCCTTGTTAAGATCCAAACTTGCAAACTGTGATCTTTAGCCATTTTTCAAGCGGTCTTGCAACTTTTGATTGGGTTCTGTGTCTTTCACAGGATTATAATTCTAAAAACTCTGTGGCTCAAAATGCAACAAGCACATTCCAGTAAAGTTGTACTCCATTTGGAAGTAGAAAAAACAAAAAAATAAACTTTAGATGTTTCAAGAAAAGCAAACATAAAACCGTTATTTTATACAAAAGACCTTGAGGAAAATTCACACTCTGTGGTGGTGAAACAGTTACTTTTATTATTTAGAGTTGTTTTATCTTGCAGCTAAATCTCCACAAACCTTTACTGAAGAATCATCAAACGGAAAAAATGTGGCATCAAAAACAAAGTACAAAATTAAAAAGCAGCCACAAAAACAATCCTAGTGCACAATAGAATAAAAAATGGATTTAATTTAGCTGCATATGTAGGTTGTACAGTTTTAATTGTCCCTTTTCTTTTTCAGCTTTCAAATGCAAATAAATAAATAAATAATTAATTAAATAAATAACCTGTATCAATATTTTACATAATAAAGAAATTAATCATCTTTAGCAAGTTTATTGGAAAACAGTTTCCATATACATCTAGTTCTTTACGTGGGACATTTTTCCAAGAACATTTGCATGTGTGTGTGTGTGTGTGCGCGTGTGTGAGTTTCCCTGTAGCTCACATAGCAGTGCCAACATATATTAACAAACATGCTTATGCTGTGAGAGAAGATCAGTGACAAAAGAGTGAATACTTACCCCAAGATGAAGCTTTCAAATTCCAGCAAGAAAGAAAAAAAAACTGAAATTTTAATCAAAACTAGAATGCTAAACATGCATACAAAAAAAGTCCACTCTTTGATGCAAAGCCTAACTTTTCAGGAAGTGGTCAGAAGTCACAAGCTCTTGACATTCATCCATAAAACCCCAAACAGACAAAAAATAAAAATAAAAATAAAAAAGTAATGAAAATGTTAACTTTTAGCCTAACAGTGACAATATAACAGTTTCTTTATAGCAGCTGTTTTATTGGCTATGCTGTTTATCTTTAGACAAAACTACCAGACTTCAGAACAAAAAGCAAGAAAACCTTGGGAGCTCTGTCTGAGAAACCATAAATATTGATGTAGGATCAGGAGAAGGGACGAAAAGAAATAGGACAGATATCTGTAGGAATAAAATAAACGACGTGAAGAAATTGTGAGTCAGAATGTCCAAGTGTATGTTAGCATGTAGCATCTGTTTTTGGCCCCTAGGCCTTTTTGCTGCACCTGTTTTTCTCCCCAAAGTAGGGGATGCTCAGGCTTGAAGGGATATAAAAAAAGCCAAAAACATGCAGGTAGGTTTAAATGATCTATTTAATATTGTAAATCTGGAAAGAGACATTCATTATTAGAGATAACGTTGTAAAGATGAGGGAGTTTCTGTTCTTCTAAGCCAGATGAAGGGAGTAAAAAGAGAAGTGTCAAATACAGACAAGATCAAACGATGTAGTGTTTGGTATGTGAGGTGAAAAGCATGTTAGATAGTTTGAGTGGGAGCGAACTGACCAGTGGGTTAAACTACAAAAGAACAGCACAGAGGGGGTGCGCTGATCTGAGCTGCAAACACAAAGGAGTGGCTGTGGATTCTGCTAGAACAGAGCAATATAAAGCAAACTAAACCCAAAGAGTCTAAGAGACCAACACAATTACATCACATGCACGAAATACTCACATACGGCTTGTTTTATGTCTTCTCCCAGCTTAGCTTGAATGAAGTGTTCACTGTATTTAGGCAAAACAAGGGCCAGGCTGCAGAAAAGATGATAATTTGGCCTATTTTATGGGTTATAATAAAAATATAAACATCTTGATTCTCAGCAGAACACAAGGCTGTTTTAAGATGTATTTCAATTTAAGCTGTTTAATTCATGGCTTCCTGGTTGATGACATTGTGTCTGACATTCAGATTACTAAATAAACCTTAAATGAACACCTGTCTCACCTGTAATCTGTTCCGTTGACTGGTGCCCATGTGTAGGTCCTGACTCCTCTATCTATGTACATCTGTCAAAATGGCACACACAGATTATCTATTTTATTTGAAGAGGAAAACACACAACTGTAAAATGGAATGCAATACATGAAACACACACACACACACACACATCTATCTATCTATCTATCTATCTATCTATCTATCTATCTATCTATCTATCTATCTATCTATCTATCTATCTATCTTTGACAGAATACAAATTCTCTCTCTCTCTCTCTCTCTCTCTCTCTCTCTCTCTCTCTCTATATATATATATATATATATATATATATATATTTTTTTTTTTATTTTTTTTTCCAGCCTATTGTTTTCAGTTTTTATGTCACTAATCTGCCCCACACACCTGCATTGCATCTGATTATCTCACCTGATCCACATTCAGTCATCAGCCCTTCCACTATATCTGTTCCTCTTTCCCTGAGGTCTTGTTGTTGCATCTCTCTGTTGCTGATACAATCCCCTTTTTAATTATCAAACCATTGATCAAAATCTGCTTGCTTGTCTGTATGCATCCTGCTGCTGCAGCTGGTGTTGCCTGCACCCTTGGGTCCAACGTACTCCAACATAAAACATTACAGAATAGTCTTGCAATGCCCAAAAGAGGACCTGCAATGAATACAGGGGAATTGAGGAGCCATGCAAAAGTTTCAAGATGTTTTGGAAACTCTCTTACAAATGCGATTTTCCACCAACAGTCTACACTGTTATTAGGGAGATCCCTTTCTTTTCTGCACCCTGGTCTCTCTCTTATAAACCATACTTGATCTGTCTGGTTGACTAAGTTTGATAGTGTAAAAACTTAGTTTCTATCCTCTAGGAGAAGAAAGTCAGAAACAATTCCATTGGCATGATGATCGTCTAAAAGACAAACAACTTTATTTTTCTACTCAGTATTTTTTTGTCAAATACTAACAGGTATTTAAAATAAGACTATTGATTTTCCAAGATGAGAGAGGATGAAATTACCAGAATTCATCAGGTTTAACTATGTCAAACTAATCAAAAGTGGCATTTTTATCACAACAAACCCTAAAACACAACCAGTTTCATAGATCAGCTTTATTTATGTGCACCTCATGATGAAATGTATGCTATTATGCTATCCCCAAGACTCAAGGTGCTAGCTAAAAACTAATGACTGAGTAGTACTTTTATATTAACCCAATTCACGTGATGTCAGGCTTCTCACCTCCCCCATGGCCATTGCGTATGGTGGAAAGACTTTATACACAGAAAGTAATTGAAGTTAGTCAAAACAAGCAAGTTCGTAGCGTTTTATAGCTTTTATTTAGTTGACTTTACAGCAAAATGGTAATAGTTTGTGGTGCAGTTGGTTGCACTCATAGACTAGGGTGTACTGGGTGCTGGGCAGCAGTAGCTCAGGAAGTAGATTTGTCCATTAATCGGAGGGTCGCAAGTTTAATGCCAGCTCCCAGCAAAGACCGCTGCTGTTGGGTCTTTGGGTAAGACCCTTACTTACATTGCCTGCTGAGGGTGGTTGGAAGAACTGGTGGCGCCAGTGTTCAGCAGGCTCACTTTAATAGTATGCCCCAGGCCAGCTGTGGCTACATTGTAGCTCATTATCACCAGCGTGCGAATGAGTGGATGAATGTGTTGTGAAGCACCTTGGGGGTGTTATCAAACCCTAAGAAGGCGCTATACAAATACAGGCCATACCATTTATCATCCAGCAAGGTGAATTCTGCCAAAATCAGCAGCTTGTTTACATCGGTGAACAGTTCATGAGTTAGCTAACACTTAACTTTTATAAATGCTGTTTTCTATGAGCCTGGCCAAAGTGTGCCAAACTTTCCCACAAGTTCAGAGGGCATAAACTAGTAGAAACCAGGCTAAACTGGCAAAAAGAAAACTACTTCAGTCGCTGATTTTCCTCTGTGTTCAATACTCCTGTAATTGACTGTTGCCCCACCTAGGTGTGCTACCCCTTCCGATAACTGAACTGGGCTTGAACCCGTTGAACCATGCTGAACGCTAAATTGCACAAAACGACAAAAAAAAAATGTTTTCAAAAAACATATGAGGCCCAACTTTTCCCTTTTCTTCAAAACTTCTTTTGCTCACTGTTTACTATGTTTTTGCAGTTCGATATGATGGACCCATGTGATCAGGTAATGTCGGTGCAAAGGATCAAGCCACATTTACTCTGTTCAATACAATTTACAATTACCTTACCAGTTTCAGTTTTCTTTGCTCTTACACTTTCACTAATACTAGTTAAACATTTGTTTATTTTTTTCCAATTCACACAAACTCAAACACATTCAAAATACCATTTTCATCCTCTTTCTTTCTTACCTCATCCTGAGTTTTCACCAGTGTGTTAATAGTTTGTTCTCCCGTTTCCCCATCGATCATCATTCTCCTTATCTGTCCATTAAAAAAAAAAACAAGTAAGCAATCTTTCCAATATGTTCACTGAATCTGAAGATGTACTATTTCATTATGTTCATATCAGAATTTTAAGAGCAGAGGTGTTGGATGAGACACAACAGATTTTGCACAAAACCTGTCTGTAACAATCTGTTTATCTGGAAACATTACCTCCACTTTTACGTCATTCTCCAGTTCAGCATCAAGAAAGTCCAGAGTAACAGGTTCCTGGAATTTAGGATTCTGTGGATAAAATCACTTTTCAGAATGAAGTATAGGACCATTTCAGGAAAACTACTCACAAAGACTGAGGCCTAGTCCACACGTAGCCGGGTTTTTTAAAAAACGAATATCCGCCCCTCCAAAAACTTGCATCCACACCACCTCGTTTAAAAAAAAAAAACTGTCCACACGTACCCGGAAAAATATGTTGTTAAGGACATGCCAGACCTGTAGGCGGCAGTACTTCCCCCATTCTTAACCTCGTCCTCAATCTGTGGTCTTCCGCAAGGAGCAGTAATTCCGCTTGCTAAAACAAACAAGCAAAAAGCGCTTGGACGATTGATAAAGCGTGCGCAGCTCTGAGGGCATCCATGCTGTCGGCTAGTGTAAACACAGGTCGCACACGTGATGTCAGCATTTTTTTTGTTGCGGAAAGTGACGTTGCGGACCTTAAAACTCTGGTTTTGTCTGTCCACACGCAGACACCCAAAACGGAGAAAACGCAGATCTTCACTTTGGCCGGAGTTTTTAAAAAGATACGTTTTCATTTGAAAAAACTCTGTTTTCGTGTGGATGACAGGCCAAAACGTAGAAAAATATCTACGTTTTGGCAGATCCCCGGCTACGTGTGGACAGGGCCTGATTTAATACAAAAGCAAAAGATTGGTGTCACGAAACAGGATTTTTAAGAAGTCTGTGACTTTACCAATGCTTAATATTTAAGGCAGGTCATGGGTATCTCATCGAATTGTGGCCCTACCTACTGTTTTAATGGAGAACTTTAACCCTTTTTAGAAGACAAACCATGCTGGTGTCCAACGGTCCAGACCACATATGTAAGATGTCAAAACTAGGTCTTTGCACAGTGGGGTGTACATTTTCAACGTGCCGTGGCAGCATGGCTCTAGCCGGCAACTATGTTGAAAATTAAAGTAAACACAGGAAGTAAGTTTTGATTTTGTAATCGGAATCAGCTGAGATGATAAACTAAAGCGATGCAGGGCTCCATGAGCTTCTCTCCGTTAGAGTTGGAGGTCAGATAACCAGAAACATGGGGACTGTGAAGGACGGACATCTTTATCTTAAGGAGTGGCTTGTCAAAACAACTTAATGAGCACAGCTTCAATTGCAATAAAAAGCAAGGTATATCCAAGATAAACAGAAGTCCATAGCCCCTTCATGCCACCATTTCGTAATCTTTTGTAAAAAGGACACTATTTTGCCTCAGTCTGACCACTTATCAACAATCCTAAGGCTTTCTGATGCCGCTGTGGCAAATTGGCTGCACCATTTTCTAAAAGGCTTTTGAGAATCTGGTGCTGGATTACATTTAAAGACAGATTCCTGTATCTGCAGATTCACCCCAGTTTGTTTGCAGACAAGCCAAGAGCACTGAAGAAGCCATTTAGCTCTGAACTTTACATATGAACACTTGGATAAAGACACATCAAGTGTGCTTTTTACAGATTATAGTTCTTCTTTAAACTCTCTTGCTCCTGTGATGCTCATTCACTAGTTGAAAACTCTTCGACTCAGCAATTTCATTTGTAAATAAATTGTAAAAGTTTTAACTTGCAGACAACAGTACGTTGAAATGAATGACTGCGTGGAGAACTTTTTTAAGTATTGGCTCCCCGCAGGCTTGTCGTCTAAGCTCTCTGCTTTTTACGATGACCATGGTCCTACCCACTCCAACAATCTTATTAAATATGCAGATGATACCACTGTCATCGGTCAGATCACCTGGAATGATGAATCACACTACCGAGTAGAAGAGAACAACCTTAATCAGAACACTGCTAAAATCTCTGATTTGTTTTTTGCCATAGTAAAAACAAAGATCCTATCGTCACTAATGATATGGAGGTACAGATGGTCGAAAAATGTTCATTCTCAAGGATAACTCTATCCTGTGATCTTAGGTTGCATTCAAACACCAGTGACATTGTTGAAAAGGTTAGACAGCATATCTTCTGCTTATGAAAACTAATGGAAGTTGCAACAAATGAAACAATTATGTTGAACTTTTATCGGGGTTATTTTGAAAGTATTTTACCGGATCTATTACCCCGCAAATTGCTCACACCAGCTGTTTTATTTATTTGTTCAATTTTTGCACCAGAACGCTATTGGCAATGTTTGCCTTGTGGATCTAATGCTGTTAAGAAGGTAACAAGTTCAAATGGCGCACAAGAAATTATATAACATTTATATAATTAGACTTTTAAAAGGAAACGTGTGCACACATTATTACTAAACACAGTAGCAGTATTCTACAGAGGTAGAAAGCACAAACAGTTGTGTAAAATAGCTGCAAGTGTGGCCGGTAGTCCAGTTGTCAATGACATGGATCCTTTTCATTTTCCACAAATGTGCTTATGGTAAATTCAGAAGCCATGACACCTGAATCTAATCAATTCCAGGACTTTAAAATGAATATGCACCATATGGCAGTATTTTCACATCACATATGACAGCAGACACGGCCAAATCAGACTTGATACAAAGTGAAACTAAACTCTATGAATGTCCTCTCTTAAAAACTCTATATGTCTGAGCTACTTTATGGTGGGATAAAATGGTAGCAGAGATCTCTATAAGTGAGCTGGACATGAAACTTGATAGCAGCCTGTTTTCTATGGTGCTCTCAAACCCGACATGTAGCACAGTGTGCTAAAAGTTGAGCATAGAAAGAATGTATTTTGTCCATTGAGGAAACATAAAGATGTGCCTTAATGTAAAGATCTTGTAAATGTTTAGCGCGCTCTTACGTGTGTGTGTGTGTGTGTGTGTGTGTGTGTGTGTGTGTGTGTGTGTGTGTGTGTGTGTGTGTGTGTGTGTGTGTGTGTGTGTGTGTGTGTGTGTGTGTGTGTATAAAGCAAAACACAGACAAAGAAATGAATTAGTAAATGTCAATTTACAATAAAAGGCATAAATGAAATTTCTTACATGCGATGGTTAGTGAAATAAACTGATGCAGCAAGATGGTGATGATGAAGAATCTCAACATGAAAATTAGAAAGAAAGAGTAAAAGATCAAGTGGTCCAACATAGCTAAATTAAACATAATTTACACACAAAAGAAAAAAAGGTGGTCAAAAAGGAAAATGAAAACTTTGAGATTCTGTCAGCTGGATGAGGATCTGAGAAGAAAATAAACACATTGCAGAAAGATGGGAGGTCTGGATGTCTTCACATTCAGATGTTCAGCTGAGCTCAAGGTCACTATCAGTATTCCTCAGTCTGACATTTGCCTGATTCAGTGAGATATTATGCATCAGGTATAATGGAGGAAAAGTTAAAGTTTGCTGCAATGTTACATTAAAATGAGATCATCCTGATGGTGCCTAGTTACAACATCAGGTTACGCTAAGGTCGTATTACTCTGTGGAATCATTTGATAGGAGCCCTGTGAAGTCATTAAATCAGAGATAAACATGGCATCATCTCAGAATAGGGTTTTGGATTGTCAAGTGAAAGGTAGCTGGAGTGTTGAAACAAATCTACAATAACTCAGAAAAAAGATAATTAAAACACTTCTGAAAGTAGCCAAATCAATAGACACTGATTATTGGCACGTTTTTACAGCATCGGTTAGGGCTGACTTTTTTTCTATAAACTACCTTAGAAGGAATTGTAAATCAAAATTACCACAATTCTGATCTAAGACCCTCTTCATACAGGATTCAGACCTCACTATGTTCTGCAAGACCCACACGGCCACCTCTTGCCGCAAATTTGAAAAATGTCTTTAGGTCTGAAGGCAATCTTAACAATGTACTTTTCATACTCACCAAATTTTCTAACAGTTCTTACAGCAAATACTTCCAACACCCATGATTATGCTCTTTGAGTATGATAAGCTACACCAAGGGGCCATTATGGACTACATTTTTTGAAGCCAAGAAGCAGTGGCTATAATTGCATTTCCACCCTCATCTGCTAGGGGCTGGCATGAGAAGTGAGCAAATCCTCATTGACTCTCATGTTAAAAATGTCAATTTCACAGGAGAAATAAACATGTTTACAGCCTGGTTCAAAAACCCATTTTAGGTTTAATAGTTTACATTCATGACAACTCTGAGGGGGGTGAATTTTTTGGAAGTCTTCTGTTTAAGTGGAATGAAATGCTGAAAATTCTGAATAATTAATGAGCATCAGAGCCACGCGACTTCAGATCTCGCTCCAGAGAAAAACCTCAGCCTGGGCCTCGGTCTCATCTTAATAGATGTTCCACCCTGTCGACTCTCTGAACTTTACTTTTGTCTGTGTTAGTGTTTCGATGTTAATCATGGAATTATTTGGACAAAGAGGGCAAGCTGTGGATATTGACTGCACTAATAGACCATCCAAGCTGTTTCTGCTTCTTTTATATCGGTAAGTAAAATTTTATTTCTGTACTTTATTTTGCTGGTTGAATGGGGGAAAATGCGGTGCTATTTAACTGCTTGGTTACACGTTAGTGGGGCTGCTGGCTGGATAATGAACTTGAGAGGATGCCCGTCTTCTGTCTCCTGCCCAAGGCGAACTGCTAGAGCAGGCGGCTGGTTGTTACTGGCGTGCAGCCAACACGCGAACCGGCTGAAAATACGAGGATGTAGTCATGCTGGTCATTTGTGGATTTGTGAGGGAAATCACAGAAACACTGCAGCTTTTTTAGTCGATGCTGCTTTACTTTAGAGTTGTTCAACCGGATTTTTTTTTCTCGCTAATAATTTGCTGGTTGAATGGGGGAAAATTCTATGCATTTACCATAACGCTGCTTGGTCTAAGATGGGATGAAATCAGTTGAAATATTGGTGTGGCTGCTTGATATGTGACCGAGGACCGGGCTTTGCTGGTCCACTGCAGTGATAGATTTGAGAGTCTGCCGTCCTCGTCTCCGGTTGGGAGCACGACACGAAACCGTGAGCTGAGTCCCAGAGTGTATTGATAATGGCAAACTTGCAGATTTTTGACTGTGGTAGATCAGCGAAGCCCGATATTCTCAGTCAGCTTATCTCGTTATGATTTTTTTACTAAGCAGGATGAAGGTGCCTTCACATCTGAGTCATTCTACTGCGTTTTTCTTGCCAAAGACATCCTGGAAAAACTCTGTTAGCTTTGGGTGAGCATTTAGCTAATGGCCCGTTGATCTCCAACCATGGAGAATGAGCTGATCTGAAAGGCCAGGGCTCCCAGTCGCAGCGGTCTGGTTCTGCTTGTAATTTATCAGTCCCAGCCCATATTAGATCTCCACAGGCAACCAGCATGACTACAGCCTCACACTGAAGCTGGTCAGCCACGCGAGTGGGTTACCCTGTGGTGCCCGGTGCCCTTCTTGGGTTAGTTAAGTTGACTAATAGCTAGATTGGTTTCATTAGTTCCAACCCTGTTCCAAATGTAACATTCCCACCCTCAGCTCCACCTCTTTTGTCATTTTTATGCAATAAAAAACTCATCCAATGCATGACACGTTTGACAAGGTTGTGCACCACAAATCAGGCAAACGTAGCAAGTACTGCTCAGTGGCCTGCATGTCATGAAATTGTTGATACCACCACTATTAAGGCTCCACCCAAAACCCAAAGTACTGCTACTTTGATGACGGACCACCACAATAATGCTTTTTAAAAACAATCCTGAAGCTATCAAATGTAATCTGAAGCCCACTTTTCTCTTAATGCATGCCTGAAAAATTCACCAGAGACCCTGCAGAAAATATACATCTTGCATCATAGTGAGGTCATCATTCCTGTATAAAAGAGTCCTGAATCCAAAATTTACCCACACTAATTGCAGATCTAAAAAGTACTCAACTAGGCCAACACACGCCCTACAAGGCTGCAGGTGAAACTACTTCTGGAATGTAAACTGCATCTATGACATCTCACCTCATGAAACGTGACCGCATACTTATTACTGATCCTGAGCTTCCTGTTTTGAATCCTTTTCTAGGAAAATCACGAGAAAAAGTGCACACACACTAATTTTAAGGTTAAAATAATTGGCAATTTTGAAACGTAATTAAATGTGCATTCGCATAATTGATTATTTATGATTAATTAAACAAAACAATAAAAAAATTCTCTAAGCCAGAGGCATACGTGTTCTGCGTATCAAGGTGTTGTAACCAACTTTTCACCTTTTCAGCCTCCTTTTTCTCCTTGTTCAGTTTAAATGCTTGTCTTAGTTACTGATTACACAAATCACTTCCTTTTTATGTTGTTTTCAAGTCATTAAGTTAGGAGAAAACACTAAATCAAACTGACAGCATCTGAATTACCACATCAATGAGAGTATTAAAGCCAAAAACAAACTCATTTGATTCATAGCTTTCACCGTGTGTGTGTGTGTGTGTGTGTGTGTGTGTGTGTGTGTGTGTGTGTGTGTGTGTGTGTGTGTGTGTGTGTGTGTGTGTGTGTGTGTGTGTGTGTGTGTGTGTGTGTGTGTGTGTGTGTGTGTGTGTGTGTGTGTGTGTGTGGTTTCAGATAAATGGAGGGGCTGTGAGAAACTCTGGCTGACACATGGCCCTCATGCGGCCTATTGGTGCCAGTTCGCCTCGGGCTAAACGTTGTGAGCTGCAGAGGAATTTACTGAAAAAAGAGGGCTAGATCCTCCTGTGGGGTCACGGCAAATTTTTACAGGGTCACATTTAATACATGCCAGTGGCTGGGAGTCCAAACGCATTTATTTGACAAATTGTGAAGCTACTCAGGGCAGTTCACTCGTATACAGCAGAGCCGTCATGTGTTTCATCGTAGAAGGGCAAATATATGGTGTTTAGAGTTAACTGTGGTAAAATCTGAGTGAAATAGCGTCCGTCCCCTCATTTTTTTTATTCAATCAGTTCTACGTGAGGAAGACAAAGCAGGAGTTCCAAAATATAGCCAAATGTTGTGATGGGGAAAGTTTTTGTCTCAGTCATGAAAAATACTTTAAAAATAATTACATCTGAGCTTCCCATACTCCTTATTCTCAAACTTATAAACTAGATCACTGCCAGATCCTCATATTTATGCAGTCCCATATGGTTGCAGTGACCTTCCAGGCAATTTCTAAGAGCTGATTATATCAAGTCAGATTCTAACTGGGGAATAGATTCTCTTTATGAAGACTGATGAAGCAGAGGCTCTTGGAAGAGCTTGAAAGGAGCCTTTACCATCTGCTCTAATGTATACTATTCACTGACGAAAAGCAGTTGCAGTGAAACTGTGTAGAAATAATCAGAATTTATTACAGTATATCAACACATCGCTATGCTGATTTGTATAAATTGATGCATGGTGCCAAATCTCATACCTTTGGCTGGAGGTTGGGGTGCAGCAGGACATATCCATTGGGATCGATGGCAAAGTAGTAGCCGTTTGGACCAATCTGGTATAGAAAGTGAACAGGGGGGAGATGGATTAATTTTGTGCCTAAAATGTCATGTCCGTATCTATGGTGCAGAAAGGTGGCAACATGATGAAGTGGCTAGAAATGTCACATGCAAATCTTAACTGGAGTCTATTTGTGGTGTTTCTGTCTATGTCTGATGAAGCACAGAAGATTTTAAATGGAATCGTTAGTGTTCAGTGTTCAGTAAATAGGCATCTGCCACTGATTAAAGCTGCTATAGCAAATTTGGAAAACAAATTAGCTTAAAACATTTTTAATTCCTCTAAACATAGTGTAGCTACAATATATTGTGGAAATTAAAAAGGGAAAAAATAATAAAGTGGTTCTCTCATATTTGTCTAAGAGCCTCGGCCAATAACGCAGCTTGAACTCAAAGTCACTATTGGACCATCCAGCTATCGGTTTTACCGGTTCTCCACACTCCTCCTGTCATTACGCACCTGTATATTTAGCAACAGATCGCCAATGTTGTGAGAGGTTTGTGGCTCAAAATCAGAAAAGGACAAAATGCCGTTAGCTACCACCTCAACTTTAGGACAAACTACCAGAATCCCAAAAAGAAAAAAACTTTTGAAGTTCTAGACAAAAATATGCTTGGATCTAGAAACGACGACTGTGTTAAGCACTATCTCGTTTCCTCTGGCAGTGTGGGTTTCCGGTGGACACAAAACCAGAGAAAATACTCTAGGGGAGGGGTGAATTTTCTGTGATCATTTCTCAACACCCAAGTACACTCGTGTGTACTTGACACGTACGTTTTTGTCAAGTTAAGCAGTAAGTCCATTCTACTGAGTACGGAATGACAAGTGTGGCATTTGAAACCGAACGTTGCAACACTAACAAAAACTAACCCTAACCTGAAGCGAAATAAAACGTTTAGTTTGTTCCTTAAATGACCATAACATTGAATAAATAGTATTTATATCATTTTGGTCCACTTTAGATCAAAATTGAAATAAATGCTAGAATTTCTCGCTGTTAAATGAAGAAAAAAAGTTGCTGGTTTTATTTTGATAGTAGGTTCACTAATTAGCAATTAGAGACATTGTGAAGAGTCCGGAAAAAAACAATTACACACAGCAAATGTTGTACAATATTATCTACAATAACATACAACTTTATAGTATGTTGTTTATATAGATATGGATGGATAGATGGTGTTTCACAAGGACATGAGTCCACAAGTTCAGACGAGTGTGTATGTTGAGATCTGGCCCGTGTTGGTGTTCAAAACCTAGCTTGTTTGCAGATTCGCTATAGCAGCTTTGACTCTAACCCAATATAAGATGGTCTTAATGGTGGCTCAATTTTACAAAACATAAAAATAAATGGAACTCAGGTTATTTCAGGTGGCGATGGTTGAGAGTCATTCACAACACAAACTCAAACAGATCATGCAAGATTCTGCAGAATCACAGAATTACACATGCTGACATTTTCAAGATTTTACTCAAATTAATATTGCCATATCAACACAAGATTATTTTACTCTGACACAAAAAGTCATTTGCTTTCCTTCAAATATGGCTAAGCCCTTGAAATGGGGAATTTCGGGGAATCATGAAATATGGTGCTACACATATCACTCGTAAGTTTCTTTGGACAAAAGCGTCTTCTAAATACATAAACATAAACATAACTCCTCTGCCACCGTCACCCCAATATAAGCATCCTATGTTTATCCCCCCACCTATTTTACCCTGTAGATGGACTCTTACTACTCTGTTTCTTTTTCACCCATAATTGGCTAGGAAAGTTCTCATCCATCCATTGCTCTAAACACAATAAAACAAGCATGAAGATGTATGTATGAAATAAGCACAAAGTTCCTGATCTATGCACAGTTTAATTGGCAAAAAATGAATGCCTATTTAGTGTAGATTTAACAGGAGGAACAAACATTAGCAGATTATTTTTTTATGTATCACATGCTGTCTCTTTACAGGGAAACAAGTGAGAAGTTCCATACAACTTTGTCAGTCACAAGACTGTGATAAATATGTTTCTCTGCATAGATGTGATCACACATCGGTGTGTTGGACTCACTGTGAAGCGTGGTGTGAGCTTCTTGATATCATCAAGAGACACATCAATCGCCATAACTCCAAGAATCAGCTGATTCTGATGCTGATAGAAGGGTGAAAATGGGAAAAAATATGAAGAAGAACCACTGTCATCAGGGTAACTCCACCATGAGTTCATCTGTGTCTTAACTTCACCTCTCCATTCCTCTCATCAAAGGTCCTGGTTCTGTTGAAGACTGGCAGCGTTCCAGTGATGACCAGTCCCAACTCCTGATTAAAAAAGTTTAAATATATTCTTAAATTGAAAATAAATATCTGTGTTTTTCATCTTCATTTCAAGAAACAAGTGGATTTCCTACCAGAGCATCAAGGTATACATTAGTCCACTGGACCTGTTTGGCCTTCTTGTCTGCTAGAACCATGGGTCTTCCCAAGACGTCTAGGTACTCCTAAATTAGACAAACACCATCGTCTAACTTTATGGAATAGTTTCATGCAACAACTGCATTCTTTAACTTTTGAGGAAGCTAGCAAAGTAAAAAAAAATCACCTGTGTGTTTATTCTGATGGCTCCAATGGAGGGAATCTCGTAGAAGTAGCCTGGTAAAATAAGCAAACCATGTGCAAAGATTTGTGTAGAAGTGCTTTATTGATTTACCTGTAACATGTTCTTCCAGAACATCATTTGGAAGCAGTCTTTCCTGTTTGAGCTGCTTCGCTTTACAACATTCAACCAAGGATTTCCTAACATCTCTAATCAGAGTTTGAGTGACTTATTTTAAACACTCTAGATAAAACAATACCTCAGCAGATCTTTGGGAACATTTAAAAATGCTATAAGTGAAACTTGTAGCATTAAATTAAACATGCAGCAGTGTTTCTGTACCTTTATTGGAGCAGGCCATCCACTGAATTGGTCCTTTATCGTAGTTGTGTTGTCCAACTGAGAAGGTAAAAATTCTGACCTATGACACCACAATTGGAAAGAACAAACCGATATAAACAGAAATACAGCTGACGTTTGCATAAGTGCTTATTTACTTTAACTACATATTTACATTAAATGTTCATTATTTAGAAGTGCAGTAAATATGACATTCTGTGGGAAAATGTGGTTACTGCAACCACTTTAAACAACTGGAGCGTTTTGCCGGCCGTCGTCAAATTGCAATTGTCGGCGCTGCCATGTTTGCTTGGAGGAGACACGGCAACCCCACTGGTAAACAGTAGTTACGCCCCTCCTTTCTTTGTTGTTGAAGGAGAAAAAAACTAACAATCATATATAAAAAATATATTTTAGTATAACCTTCCTTCCAAAACAACTGAAACATTGGACTCTTTTGAGGGTTTTCACACTGTAAAATTCTCACTATGTTCACTGCACCTTTAACACTGCTAACGGATACTGTAACTACTGAGTTACATGTGGAATTGAGGTAAAATGGGCAGCAGTAGCTCAGGGGGTAGAGCAGGCTGTCCAGTAATCAGAAGGTTTTATGTTCAATCCCAGCTCCTGCTAGCCTAGTGAACTAGACCAGATTTTTGCTTTGCAAAGTTTGCAAATAATACATTTATTTAGTCTGGCTTGTCAGGCTAAGGTCCTGCCACAGTATGCTGCTGTTGTGTCCTTGGGGAAGATACTTGACCGTCCTTGCCTGCAGGTGGTGGTCGGAGGGACCAGTGGCACCATTGTTCGGCAGTCTTGATTCCGTCAGTGCACCCCAGGGCAGCAGTGGCTACATTGTAGCTCATCACGTGTGTGTGTGTGTGTGTGTGTGTGTGTGTGTGTGTGTGTGTGTGTGTGTGTGTGTGTGTGTGTGTGTGTGTGTGTGTGTGTGTGTGAATGGGAGAATGACTGTGTTGTGAAGCGCCATGGTGGGTTGTAGAACCCTGAGAAGGCGTTTTACGAACACAGGTCCTTTACCATAAAATATATTCACCAACCTAGGGGTCTACTTGGACTATATCTTACTCAGCCATACTACTTTTACATAATAATAATAATAATAATAATAATAATAATAACAATTTTTTGAAAAACCATAGTTTATTTGGAGACTCACATCATTGTTAAATATTACTGTAATTAGATTCATATTACTTTTTGAAGTGTGTTTATTGTTTCCCCCTTAGCGGTTTGTTGCCATGTCAGGTTCATTTCTTTTAATTCATTTATGGCCCTTTGTGACTTCCTGCCTTGCTGCGCTTTTAGTCCTGTTTTAATTACTGGAACTTTATTTGCTTTTCATCCTCTTGCCGTCTTCCTGTCAGCCTCCATTTAACTTTCCATGCATTTCCATCTGCACATGTGTAGGCATAAGCCACTGTTCGTACCTTTTTGTCAAAGTTGTATTTCTCCAGTACGAACTGAGCTCGCTCTTCTCCTCCGTCTGTAAACAGCATGATGATTTTGTTGCAGTACGCCCTGCTGATGTTGGTCTAGTCCAAGAAAATAAACAAGAGTTGTATAATTAATGCTAAAGAGACAGGAACGACGATTTTTTGTTCAAGTGGAAATGCATTGGATTAAAAGGTCAAAAGCTTTGGTGGATCGTGACATCATTGTGTCCAGACATATAAAGTTGTGCACTCCACACCTTTTGTACCCAGTATACTATTAGTATTTTTTTTGTCATGTAAAAGGTAAAAAAAAAAATAACCTGCAACATTTTAGTTTTGATCACTTATCTGGTACAATGGGTTTCAATAATGTCCAAACATGAGATGAAGTAACTCATCTCACCAGCAGATGGCGATAAAGACAATGGTTTTGAAGCATTTGTATTATGGAACCAGGCAGCACTCACTCCAAACTTGATTTAAACCTTGACTTTCTCACAGCCAAAGTGACATCTTTTATTTTTTTCTTACCGCATTGAGCTGCTGAAAAGCAAACTCAAAGCCTTTTGTGTAGTTTGTGATTCCTTTCGCTGTGATGTTCTGAACTGCATCTTTCAGCAGCTTTTTGTTCCTCACATTGGCCTGAACCAGATGGTCGAAACACGCTGTGTTCTTTACCCTGGTGTTAAACTGAGAGGGGAAAAAAAAAATAGACAAGAAGTTACGACCTGAGAATTATTCACACTATTAAAGCATCTGTGCATTTAGAAAAACAACAAAGGCATCACACACACACACACACACACACACACACACACACACACACACACACACACACACACACACACACACACACGCACACGCACACACACACACACACACAGCAACACACACTTACACACAGCAACACTCCCACCTGGCCTTGGTTTTTATCAGACAGCGGTAAACAGACACATTCATCAAGCCCCACTAATTGCTTCACATCCTTGGAGCTCAACGATTTGGTACCCATGGAAACAAGATTCTGCTATATAAAAATGAGGATAGGCAGTAGCACAATCCTTTATCAAAAGTGGGACCTTCTTTTCAACTACATAGCTTCTGTGTGCAGAGCTGTGGTACATGTTAGCCAAACATTTAGCTTGTACCTGTGCTCCAAGTTGCACTGATTATCCATTTTTTTAGGAACATAATCATTTCACACTCTTTGGAGTAGCAAACACAAAATATTCAGTACCTAAACATTCATATGTTTTAATGAAAAAATAACTTTTAAACTTTAATTTCTGGTTTTCTTTTTGAAACTTTTAAATGTTTTAGATCTGCAAAGACATTTCAATACCAGACCCATTTAGCCCAATGAAGCATAAAATTATAAATGGGTAATAAAGCTACCCAAACCAAACTGATGTAACATGAAAGTAATTGTTAATTCGTAATTTAACTGTAAATGACTCCATATTTTTGTAAAGTTTACCTTTTTTACTAACCATGCACAAGTCAGATTTATATCAGGCCTGTAGAATTTATAAAACACTTTAAAGGTGCAGTTTGTAAGAATGACATCCTGTGGTCAAATATGGTTACTGCAGTCCATTTTTAAGCAAACATATCAATCTCTCACTCCCGTTCTGTGGCATTCATGGCTGTTTCCAGTTATGGATCTGCACCATAAGATTCTACATAAGTAAAGACAAGTCACACACAGTTAGTTAAGAAGGTGTTTTACGGTAGGGAGCACTTGCTATGCTTATTACGGTATTTTGTCTCCGACATTAGAAGAAGTATGGTTGTTTGCAGTCTTCCTGTTATTATGCTGTTATAGTTCTGAACGACTCGTTAAAGAAAGTAAACCGCCATGATTGATTCATTATTCACTTCACACAGACAATGTAATATTGAGTTGTTGGCAATTGAAGAAGTAGCTTAAGATCCAACTATTTCTTTCTAATTTATCGTTGGCATCGTTACCATTGTTAGCATTGTTTGCTCAGCATTAGCCTCTAGCCTGCTTCACCCAAAATTAAAGCGAAACAAAAGGATGCCATGACTTCTTAGGGGTACAAGAAATAACGGTCTCTCCTGTTTACTGGTTTTGGTTGAACTACAAATGCCTGCTATGCTGTGTTTGCTTGTTGTAGCTTTGGCAACCTCGCAAACTCATACAGAGTAAACTGTAGCTACGCTCCTCTTTGTTGTTGTTTTTTTTTTTTTGAAAGGAGAAAAACTGACAACCCCACAGCCAGCTGAGAGCAAAATAAATGTTAGTATCCCTTCCTACATGATTGAGACATTAAACTGTTATAAGATTTTTTCCCAGTAGAACTAATACAAAATGCACTTTTAATAAAAACTGACAATATTAAAGAGGCTAAAAGATTTAAAAAACAACATATCAGTCTTCAAAGACAAAAAAATCCCTAAAGACACTTTTTCACAGCAGCATATGCATGTGTCCTTAGACTCCCAGGATTAAAGTCCCTTTCATAGTGACAATAGCCAACATGCATATCTGATGGATTTAAAGGAATTATGGCACTAGGTTAAAACACATTAAGTGAATGTTGCTGACATCACAAAAACACATACACAATGTATGTTCATGCAATTAAACAAAAGGGTCATACATCTTCTCTCACACTTCAAAAGGTGTCATGAAGGTTGTGTGAGAGGAAGATGGAGACAGCACAAAAGTGGGGAGGATGGGTATGAATACAGGACACACAAAAAAATTCACAAGCAGGAACATGAAGAAAATGTGTTGTATAATTAATCTTTGTTCTTCATTCATCTGCTGGCTTGAAATATTTAGGGTGCAACAAGGATCTGCCCCATAATGGGAGGGTTTCAGGTTCAAGCCTCGTCTGTTGCAGTCGGTGTGTCCCTGGGCTGTTGTAGAGCACTTTGGGGGGTTGTAGAATTCTAGAAGGCTGTATATAAAATACAGGCCATTTACCACTTATAAAAAAAACTCATTATGCCAATATAAGAAAAGAAATGTGAGAAGACTACTGACTAAACCCATTTGTGCACTGTAAAGTGTGATTACTGGCCATTTACCATTTGCCTGCAGATTACTTCAAATGTCAATGTTTCCTATTACAACAAAACTTTAAATATGTGTACAATTTTCTCGGCTTTAGGTAAGGATTAGGATTAGTCATCTTTCTCCATGTCATTACTAACACCCTAATACCGCCGGAGTCTCTGGCTTGCTCACTAGAATGACTCTGGCTAACGCGGCAGAACAGGCATGATGAGAGAAATAGAAGTTCAGTGAGGTGAGTGGGAAAACAAGAACAAAGGGGATGGAAAAGAAATAGAAAAATTGAGACAAATAAGAAGTGGGAATGACGGCCATCAGCAGTCTTCTGACCTGCCTAGTTGTTGAGGAACAGTGTGAGCATCTTCCATTATCAAATGCCAACGTGGTCCTTGGGCTACTGGTAATGAGGTTAATGATTTATGGGGAATATCCTAGACCAGTGATTCAGTGGCAGGTAACATCCTCAGGGCCAGATCGCATCACTTTGTCTTCATGTTGTGTGAATGAGTGAGTCAATCTCAAAAGAGTGACAAGAAGCATTAAGAACTTTGAAAACTAACACATAATGCAACAGATACTAAAACGGAATAAAAATGCAAAGAAAATGCCTTGCTTGGACGGATGCAGTATTTGGGAAACATTTAACCTCCAGAAAACTATAGAGTCTGTCGCTGACATTATTCAGAAATCGCCTCTGCTGCGGCTACCTGATGGCACCGGAAACTTTATAAAAGTCGAGGTAAGCTATATTTTTAACATGTACGTAACATCTGTGCAGCGCTGAAAGCTCCAGAAAAACGAGAGTCCCACCCCTAGTTCATTTTTATGAAACAGGGATTTAAAGAAACTGAAGAAGTTGCTAAATTCCAAATGTCATGAATTTAGCATTTTGATTCAGACAGAAGATTTCAGGTCAAATATAATTTAAAAATATTTACAAATACTAAATGTTGGTGATGTAAATTCAAAGCAGGTTTTACGTCACAGGTCAGACAATATACTTAAAAACACAAAATGAAAGTGTGATTGAGGTCTTTAAGGGTTCCAGTTCATGCAATTTTAAACCTATGAGAGACTAAAGTAGGTACAATATGTGATAAAATAGTGCCGTTGGCATTGAAATGTCAGTTTAGTATGTGTTATTTTTGTCGAACCTGAATTCATACCTTAACATGAAATGGCCTGTTTCAGCATAGCTCTACCCACACCTGTGGAGACGAAACCCACCCTGGCATCTTAGGTAAACCAGCTGTTGTATTGTCCTTGGTTGTCCACTGTTTTAACTGCCTGCCAGCCTTTCATTTTGTTTTGCCATGAACTGATGCGGGTTTGACTCCCGATGTCGGTAGTAATTTATTTGGCCAGCTGAAGCAGATTTAACTGACTGATATTTAAGTTTCATTGATTATTTTCTTAAAGATGTTTTTTTCTCTAAAGGTCTTTGAATTTGGTCATTTCAAAGCAGCAATTTATCTGATACTCTGCACACATCACATGTACTCACACTGGCTAAAGAAATAAAGAATGTAAAAAAAAATAGTCCTTATATTTGAAACATTTTACCAATGAAGGCTCGAAACCATCACATTGTTGAGTGCAGCTAAAAAGAGGAGAAAAAAATGACTTCCACGACCAGGATGCAAACGTACTTGACAGTCTGGACTACTAAGTTTGTTACAAAACAATGGCCGCCTATGATACATATCCTGTGCTGGCCATTATGTGTGTCTTCATTTACAGGAAGCAAGGTTAATACAGCAGTGTTTTGTCCCCAGTGCAGAAGTAATTTGTCAGAATTTCCAGGTTACAGAACCAAAACTAGATTCAGGGGGAGGAGAAATGCCTGGTGGTACAAGTTGGCTAGTTTCTTCCATCTTCACATCGACCAAATTGCAGCTGAGGCAGCAAAATGCATGGATGCTGCCAGAATCAGGTTTGGGGGTTCATCTTTGTTACGTTCACTGATCAGACAATTAAACCATAATCTGTTCTTTCTATCTGGTTAATTTTTTGTTTGTGGCTTTTCTCATGAGGAAATGACAATATCACATAGTAAAAAGCTCTAAAAAGTGAATTTTCAATGATGTGTCCCTTTTAAAACTAATGCCAGAGTCATTTTCTTCTGCATTTGGAGTCAAAAATTTGTTGTTGTAACCTTCAAATTGTGTTTAGCACATTAATGCACCCCTCAGTGTCTTGTACCTCACATAGAATATGAATGCTTTAAATCCGCTTTTCAGGTTTTGAAACACACAGGAAAGAATAATAAAAAAAAGTAATTTTAAAGTTACTTTCTCAACTGAACACCCAGTTTCTGTGAAACACCAACACACATGCACACACACACACACATGGGAAAGATGGGCTCCCTACCACTGTCTGATTATTACACATCTTTGTAGAATCACAAGTCCACCATTGAGCAGAATAAATTGTGTCAAAGACAGAAAGTCCCTGCAGAGCAGCATTGAAGCCAGAATGGCTGTTTTTGTGGAAGATGACAGAAGACACCTCCAATCTCTGAAAACCTGTCTCAATAAACACCTCCACAGGTACCCTTCCACACATCAACTAATGTCCCGATTGGGTCTTTCTGAATTTAATCACGACAGTAGGAGATGGGAAAGTGTAGAAAAAGACAAAGATCACAAGTGATGGGAAAGAGAAAATGGGGATGGGACAAAAGATGTAAAGCTTTTGTACTGAAACAAAGCAATGAATATATAAGGTAAGAATGCCAAATGGAATTCCATTACTTAATGGTATAAAGGAAAAAGAGGAATGAAAATATAAATAGTGATGGATGGCTGTTTCCTGGGTTCACTGAAGTCAAGAGTGCAGCTTTAATTTCTGTGGGATCATTGGGAATGCTCATCCACACTCGAGCCTTCTGTGGCTCCACAGGATGGTTGGGGTCACAAAGTGCAGAGTTTTAATCTTTAGCACCAAATAGAACTGCAGGTACTTCATTAAAGATCTGTTTCATGGTGGCCAGACCTGAAAAAAATCCATATTTCATTATGTGTCCTATCTCTTCACCTCTCTCTATGTATATGCCCATGTGGGCATTGTGTTGTTTACTTGCAGGAACGTGTAGATGGAAAATACCATAAGGCATAGACGTAGTATTTGGGGGGGGCTTTTTTTCAACATGTGTTGAAGCCTGTTTCCCATTAGAACCGTCCATAACCTCACCCATTGGCTCTGCTGATACTTGCTGATGTTTCCCACTTCTAAATTCAAAACTACGTCCATAAGGCACCAAATTAATTATTCACTATCTGTCAACGGGAACTCGCATCACATTTGCATTACATTTGGTGACTGAGAAGCTTAATGATACTCACAAAAACCACATTGACAAAGTCATCATCAGACAGAGTCTCCAGCATCTCACTGACTGAGGTTCTGATGAGTTTCAGAGTCAAACCAGACACACTTCCACTCCTAGTAGAAAAAAAGAGAGGGGAAAAAAATTGTGACAGCTTCTCATTCAGTACCAGCCTGATTCTTTAATGGTGAGATGTTACTCAGTGTAGCACAGCTTTGACCTGAGGAAATACAGTACATATGAAATCTAAAAAGGCTTTATTATCGTGGAGGGAAAAAAGAAATAAAAACTGCAAATCTGTTAGAATACTGAGATACTCACGCATCCACAAGGATCAGCATGTCTTTGGGTGAGGCAGCTCCTTGGATGTACCTCAAATTAAAATTAATATTAATATTTATACGTAATTGTACTCTTTTTTTTAAGTGAGAAATACAATGTGCTTTACAACAGGGCAATAGAGCCACAAAGAAAGGGTAAAAAAGTATATTTTTATTTATTTTTGGACTTGTGTTTTTGTTTCCCAGTTTTGAGATTAAAGTCAAAATTGTTGGACTCATTAAGTTTTAGAAATTTTTATTTAAAATATTTTACTGAATAGTTTCCTTCATTGTCCATCACATTTTGTCTGATTTCCTGACATAAAATAGTTTTTGTCCTTATTTTCAATTTAATGTTCAGATTGGGAATTTCCTTCCCTCTGAGTGGCCCTAATATGCCTTCATACTAGTGATTATAGCGATAGGTCTGGGCAGTATGGCCTAAAATCTATATGACGGTATATTGAGGATTTCACCTGTAAATGGACGATAACTACAGGTATACACAGAAACAAAAGTTGACCTCTAGATAGAGCTGTCATGTGGATTACATTGAGTCATGCTTTTACATGACTCAAGGTGGTTCAGCTTCTTAAAGAAACATGAATACCACCAACCTACACACACATTATTTATTATTTTTTTATTGTTGAATTTATTGACATGGGAAAAACGATAAGAGCCAGAAATTTTTGTAACGATGCATTTTCTATGTATTGCCCAGCCCTAAATGAAGGTCACTTATTTTATTATCTTTGTACCTGTATTTTCTCATGACATCTAAAAAAATGTAATTAAATTGCTATCAAATTTTAATTGATACGTTTTTGACTTGAATACATTTTTTTTTTTTTGCAGTAGGAATCATCAATTGTTAGAAAAAATCAGCAACACAATTTCGTAAACAGACCTTTAATAAATGTTTCCATATTATAAGGTAGAATTGATGCATAAAAAGTTTATTTTGGAAGTTGAAGCATTACTTGTCTGAGATAGGCTTATTTATTAATGTATTTGTTTATTTATTTTGCATGATTGTTTTTATAATGCATTCAATACATTTGGTTGTAGTAACAGACAGCAATCCTAAAACATCAATTTGTTATTTGTATTTCTAAAATCATAAAATACTAAACCATACCTAAACAAAGGCTCATCTCTGAATCATACAAGTTTTCTTACCATGGTCTTCTACGAACATCATATAAATCAATTTTGCTGGGTGTCTTTCGAGCATCCATCCATGGGGAGGCTTTGAAATAGATCACAAACATGATTAGATATGTGTTATAATTAAAGAAAATAATCACCACTGCCTATTTTGGTCTAATTTCTGACACACTTGATTACAAGACTGACAAAAAATAAATAAATAATATAATATGCAGCATACATTTCAGCTGAGCAGGGAGTCACTGCCAGACATGATAAACCACATTTTATAACAGCAGTTGGCAATTTGGATAGACTCCTATATTCACCACATCATCCACACCGTGACAGTTTTCACTTAACACAACTACTGAGAGGAAAACTGAAGGGAATGTGTGTATTAATCCAGAGATCTAGCTTTCAACCTGCATACTATCAGGCAGGGGCAATGCATAAACAAGATGGTGCATGGGCATGTGATTGCCTTTCATGCATGGTGAGAGGCTACAAAGAGAAAAGGGAAATACATTGTGAGGGAAAGTCAAACTAAAATGTAGTTTTCTTGCAAAATTGCAGGGCCGTGCTTTTATGTTGCTAGTTTTTAATTTTGGGAGGGATTGACAGCCTATGGGAAGAGGGTTGTGATGGATTGCAGGCAAGAACAAGAATCTGATGCTTAAAGTGTGGCAAAATGTGTACAACAATATAATCCAAATATATTTCAAACAAAATTAGACATGGCTAAGATACTTTCAGTCTAAACTGCAACGTTTGCACAACATTCACATGAATATGCCACGCAAGTAACCTGTTCACTGTGATTCCAAATGAAGACACTGGCCTTAGAATAAGCCAGTAATAGATAGGCATGTCATTTTCTGATGCTGATTAGTAATTGGCTGACCTTTATTCATTGTTTGGTTTGGTTTTACCTGGATAATAGCGAGCCAGGCCTGTAGCACTGCCAAACACTTGCCATAGAAGTGTTGGGTCATCTTCCCTATTTCTTTTGAAGACATCCTCCAGTGCCTCGGTCCAGTTGAGTTCATTCAATACAATGGCGGCTGGAAAAAATAAATGAAAGACACGTATGCAAAAATGTGTAATATGCACTCAGAAATAAAGACTCACTAGGGTACGTTGGCTTTGTTTCTTTAGTTGATTCCAATATGCTATGGACATAGTACCTATGGTACAATGGTTTACCTTTTATTTTTTACTTTAAAAACACATTTGGCACCCTTAATTGCCTTTCACCCACAGTGCCAGCCCTTCCTAGCCTAGAAATCTAAACAGACAGGCCAGCCCAGTCTTGTGTCTTGCCAACTGTAGAGGTTTTGTGGAAGGGATGATGCGATGGAGCGGAAAAACTAAAATGCCAGCGAGTCTTTTGAAACGGCTTTGGCATCAATTTTGGACTATTTAGATTTGGGCTTTTCTTTGAGTCAAGAGCAAACAGAAGTACTAAAGCCCTCTTTAAAAAAAATGTATTTCCATCTTCTTCAACAGTCCATGGCAGACTGCCCCGTTGACTGACATCTGAAGCAGTGAGTGTGTCACGTTGTTATTTGTCCAATAGCATGCAGAGACAATATGAAAGACAACCATAGATTCTGTTGATGGGTCATGGCCAGACTATATATTTACATATGATGACTTGCCAGGCTAATCCCTTCTAGTATAAAGTTAAGGATGTATGACAAACAACCTTTTTAGGTGCATTTGTATTTGTTAATAATAATAATAATAATAATAATAATAATAATAATAATAATAATAATAATAATAATAATTTATTATTATTATTATTATGTTGATGGTGGGCTGCACAGTGGCGCAGTGGTTAGAGCTGTTGCCTTGCAGCAAGAAGGTCCTGGGTTTGCTTCCCGACCTGGGGTCTCTCTTCATGGAGTTTGCATGTTCTCCCTGTGCATGCGTGGGTTCTCTCCGGGTACTCCGGCTTCCTCCCACAGTCCAAAACCATGACTGTTAGGTTTGATTGGTCTGTCTAAATTGTCCTTAGGTGTGAGTGTGTGTGTGCATGATTGTTTGTCCTGTGTGTCTCTGTGTTGCCCTGTGATGGACTGGCCCTCTGTCCAGGGTGTACCCTGCCTGATTGCCCATTGACCGCTGGAGATACCCCCCCCCCCCCCCCCCCGTGACCCTACGTGGATGAAGCAGGCTCAGAAAATGGATGGATGTTAATGTTAACAATAATAATAATAATTAATAATAATGATGCATTTTTATTTGTAAGTGCCTTTCAAGACTCTCCAGGTCGGTTATAAAGTGTGCCTTTTTCAGACATGACTACAGAAAAATCAAAGCTTTAATTGTTATCGGATTTATTTCAGTATGTATGTTCAGAAACTACAATGATAGCTGATAAAATATAATTTGTAAAAACTAATGCTAATGTGAGGATCTTCAAGTACAATCAATTTGTCAAATTATTCAAATGGTCCCTGCTGCCTGTGATCTGATTGTTATGTTGCACCGCTCTGTAATCAACACAGTTTAGAGGCAATCCGAATGCCACTGGGAAGAGTCAAAGACAAGTGGTCATCCCAGATTAACACATTCATTAGGATTCACACACAAACTCACCAGCATCGGCCCATTTGCTCAGCAGGACATATGAGCAAATGTTTGTCCAGCAAACGTGCGGGTGTCTGTATTTAGCCACAAATACAAAAGCATAGCATTCAAGCAAGTCTAATGGCTTCGCTTCAACATTAAACAGATTTTTACTTCAACAGTGTTTAATATTTGAAACACCCACTTGCTTGCATCTGTGTGTGTTTGTATTAGTGCATGCATGTGATTGATAGTGTATGTTGTGAGAGGCAACAGGCATTATGGATGTAATGGCACAGCACCCAGACAGTTTAGAGTCACATAACCCTGACAGAGATTGATGGAGGCTCAACGTGTGCTGCCCCAACTCAATCTTTCCTTTATTTTCTCTGTCAACAGTTTTTTTTTGTCTCCCATTTCTTCTTCTCCTCTGGTAAGATCTACTAAATATCATTTTCCGTATCTGTGTGTGAGGATGTAGGGTGATACGATTCCTATGCAGGAATTATGCATATTTGAGACACATCGACATCCTGCATTTGGTGTGATGCAGCTCATTGATGTGCAAAGCAAATGCTGTTCATCTGTGTACGTGCCTCTTGAGGGTAGAGTTAATGAAGGCTTGGCTGCCAAGTGTGCATGCGTTTCACTATGAAAAGACGGTGCGTGTTTCTGTGGTGCAATTAGAAATGTATTTCACTCATTAGGTAGAGATTTTTAAAGAAGGCACACATATGACATAACAGCCTTTGTTATTAGATACTAAGAAAAATGTGGAACCTTGTGTAAATTTGTTTAGATGGGATTGTGGAAGAGATGTAGAAGAAAATGCATTTAAACCTATCAAACAATTTAGTGAGATGGAGGACGCATAAAAATAATTTAGAATGAATCACCAAAATAGATGGTTACATAAGTTCAGGATAAAAAAATACCTTATAATATAGTTCTTCAGTGTCTCCATTGGTCTTGAGTGATTAATATTATTTAATCAGCTGCCCCTGCAGCTATCCTCCAGCTTTCCATGCCTGGCACTAATGAGTTTTTTTTTTTTTTTGGTTCCACTTTGCAGCATTGAATTTAAACTTATGACTCCATCTGATTTGGACTTTGAAAGGTATGAATTATAAAACAGATCTACAAAAGTTGTAAAATTAAATTTTCTGACTTTGGCCTATTAATCATTTAATTAATATATGGAATCACTCAAATGTACTTGTGTTGTTTATTGCACAGATACACCAACTATAATAGGTATGCCTCATTGTAAAATGGTAAAAACTGTTCTTAGAATAAACAAAAACATCATCTGAAGACGATGCCGATGTCCTGTCGGCAGCGTTTGACACTGTAGACCAAAAAGCATTGCTGGATGGGTTGGTCTCTCTGACTCTGTGCTGGACTGGTTTAGCTCATACCTGGACAATACATCTTTCAGTGTACAGGTTGGGGGTTATGCCTCACCATTCCTGTCTGTGAAATGGGGTGTGCCTCAGGGCTTGGTCCCAGGGCCCATCCTATTTTCCAACTGTCTTTCACCTTTGGGTCGGATTTTTAAATGTCACAGCATCAGCTATCACATTTATGCTGATGATTGTCAGCTTTATCTGGCCATGAAAGATCAAGACGTAAGCACTTAAGTTTTTAAGTGTCTTTCTGAGGTGAAATAGTGGTTGGCGGAAACTTCTTATGCAAATGCTGCAAAGATGGAGTCAATACTTTTTGAGCCAAAAAACCTTCCACGTACATCATCCACCCCTAGTCTTCCGTGTTGTGAACTCCAGAAGTGTCACTAGCCTCGGCGTAAAAATAGATGCAGGACTTTCAATGGTACCGCAGATAAATGCAGTAGTTAAATCATGTTTTTTCCAACTGTGCCATCTCATACACCTAAAACCTGTTCTGAAATGTCCTCATTTGGAGTCGGTGATACACGCTTTTATTACGTCACGCCTGGATTATGCAAACTCACTACCCAATGGCATTCCTGTTTCAGCATTAAACCAGCAGCAGACTGTGCAAAATGCTGCAGCTAGGTTTCTAACCAACACAACTAGCCGCAGTCACATTACCCGGTCCTGGCGCATGTACTCTAGCTGCCTGTTACTTTCAGGGTGTGCTTCAAGATTCTGCTATTCACCTACAAGGCATTAAATGGCCTAGCACTCCCCTACCTGTCAAAGCTGCTTACACCCTATGTGCTGGTGCGTTTGGTGAGATCAGCTGACCACTGAACTTTCAACCTACAAACCAGTTTGGCTTTAGATTTTTCTTTTTTGTTTGATTACTTATTTTTTTACATTGACAAAACGGTCTACTGTTTAATGCTCATCCCAAACACATGATTTTGATTTCAAAAACGTACCATCTACTGTATAAAGAATAAGCAATTTTCTTCAGCTGAGTTATACGTGGAACATTTATAGGATATATGTCAAATGTGGAGAGCTGAGCCCTCAACAATGTGTGACTCCTCAATCTATTTTTTCCTGCTAATGCATGTGTACCAATATCTACCAATTTTACTGACACACACTGGGGTTGTCATTCCCATTTTTGCAATATTCCTTCTTTCTCTCATTTTGATCAGCATTAAATCCAGTATGACTCAACTTTAATTCTATGATATCTTTATCTACCTCAGGCCTAAAGCTTTGTCCTAGCTATACATATTTGCCACTTCAATTTTTGGGTACACAATCACACACACACACACAGGGAGAAAAAAAAAAGTTTACTTCATCTTGGTTGGATCAAAATAAAGTTCTGGACAGATTTCAGTACCACAGAGTTTCTATGCATACTCATTACTAGCAACCTATTAACAGCATCCATGAGAAAGTGAGTGTGACGATATGTGGCAACCAGCCCAGATTGGAGCCACAAAGGTATCTAAGGCAAAAAAATTAAAAAATAAAAACAAGAAAGTCACAGCAAGTTCAACAGCATGCCACAACCAAACTTGGAAGTTTGACAGATACCATTTCCTGACATCAATCAATCAATGTATCCATTCCTTTCATGTCCATCCGTAACCCAAATGCATTCCTGTGTATCTGGGGTCAGCAGAAATGTTATACACGTAACCTTGGAACCAGACGGCTCCCCAGCATGTTGAGATCCATGCTGAGGAATTCACTCCATCCTACTTTGCTGATGCAAAGTCCACGACACAACTCAGCACAAATTACTTATTTGATCTGAACACAAATGCATGGCGATTCAGTCCCATGTGAGCACTCTGAAAGGCACGAGTCAATGAGAAGCGCTGCACTGCCTGGTGGCTAGACTATTCCGGAATCAGAATCATGTAACAGCAGCTCACTGGGAGCCAATGTTGTGACGATTATCTTTGAGAAAAACAACGCTAAACCCCTCAAGCTAAAATTACAAAGTATCAGCTGAGAACTTAAAGCATGAAAGTGTTACTTTTTATTCCAAGGAAAGGATAGTAGTACATGTACAGAAGCTCCTATGAATGGTTATGATTTTCAATGGTCACTGACATTCAGCCTGAGCTGTGCTAATGTCAGAGAGACTCAGGAGAATCCAATTATACTGAACTACTCAAGGTAAATGTCACACATTATGATAAAATGATAAGAAATCTGATTTTATTAAATGCTGGCAACAAGATGAACTAAAACATCACACTTCCAGTTTGGTCTTTTGCTACTAGGGATGTGTGATATTATCAGGTAATCATTAATATCAGCTAACATAGACATTAAAATGTAATTTTGGAACATATTTGTATTGGTTTTTAATCTTTTAATGACAAAAGCTACACCACACACATATTATACACAAAACTCTGCAGCTACTTCTCCTCTCTATCAAAATCTCAAAATATGGCAGATCTGAAATAAAGTTTTTGAGATATTTTAGTTTATTGGCACAACTTGTGAAGTAGAAAGTTGCTGTAGTGACAACCTATAAAACAAAAACATGATTTTTTTTACCCAAGGTTTGCTTTTCTTAGATCTTTATAAATATTTTGTCATTGCTTCAATTTACATAAAAAGAAAAGAAAAAGAAATACAACTGCACACTTAAAGAGAATGAGATTCAGCTGCTGTTGGAGACAAAATAAATATGACACTTTCCCTATTACAAACAAATTGAAGTAGTTGTCAATTTGAACAGAAACTATTTAAAATATAAACATGCATGATAGCAGATATGTGATATTAGAAACCTAAAATGTTTTATTTATCTATTTTTTATGAGAGGGGGACACAGCATATAACAGTATATTAATATTGGAAATTAAGAGTTTGATGATTTCTGTAAAAAGCCAATATCGAGAATCTCTATTTGCTACCGATATATATATTTTTTACATATTTTTTATCTATGCAGTGCAGTAGACTCAGTCAATGCTGCACCTGGTACATGTTATACATTATTATGAACAAACAATTTGTAATATCAAATCTGGACCATTATCACTTCTAAGTCATTGATATGAAAAACACAATCACAGTTTGCCTCACATTACAAGGCTGCTTTTACGTTCAGAGACAGCAGAGACATACTCAGCCACATAAAACAAATAAAAAATTTGCACATCAGTATTATTATAATTTATTCCTCATCTTACTGAAACTTTTCCAATTCTGGGCTTCCTGAAGCAGCCACAGGTACAGAAGCTCCCTTGTCAATTCTATTTTGCACATGCATGCAGAATATATGCGCTAAATATGATCCATGCTCACTCAGCTAATCTGTATACAATATTAAAACCAATTCCTAACTACTTAAATAGCCCATGAGTAGTTTTTACCATTAATCTCTGGAAATATCCATTCAAATGTTGTTAAAAATGAATTAAATGATGCCCAATTGTTACAAAATATAGGTGGCTTCACAACATATAACCAAAAATAAATCAGGTCTAAAATACATGGGAGCGGGTCTAAGTCTCTGGGCACCACCATCTAAGATACTATGGGTGTGTCCGAATCCACGGAAAGGATGCTTATGAGTACGGGTCCTCGCCGGTCTAGCAAGGCCGGGTCCGGGTCCATTTTTAAGACAGATCTAATCTAATAATGATTAGATCTGTCTTAAAAATGTAAATTCTCTGTAGTTTTCCCTGCTGCTTTTCTTTAAACTGAACAGAATCAGTCTACTGCAGGTTATATGTTTGTTTTACATTTTTCAATAAAAAAACTTTTTAAATCTATTACAGGTCAGCATGCACTGTGCTGCACATCTGCCTCTGTGCTGGTGAAGTTGTGGGTCTGGAGGATGAGCCTGAGGAAGATGTGTGTGGAGGAGGTCAGTGGTGCTCTGTCCTGCAGGAGGTACCAGCAAACCACCACTACTGTTAACAGGCAAGTCATTTATGTAGGAACCTCTATTAAAAACAACACTGTGGTTTTATTTGCTGAAGAGTCACAATTGTTATGCCGGTGGATCCATAAACCATCTCCTCTCATATTTCTGAATATATCTTAGAGATGTAACAGCTGTCGTCTGAGCCAGCCCAGCAGTCCCTGTAGATGGACGATGGAGTGGACAGTGAGAGGAAGCGTCCCAAAGCTCTCTCTGCAGACCGTCCTGTATGATGTTCCTCTGGCCACAAACGTCCAGCCACGGGTCTGTTCCAGCCCTCCATCCACTCCTGGATCCTCCTGCAGCAGATCCAGCTGCACTGTTAAAGACTTCCTGCTCACTCAGTTTAAATAAATGATCCAGGAAGAGTCACTCAGGTTAATCCTGCTTGAACTGTACAAAACTGGTCCATACTGGTTTTGATCTGTAAATAAGTGTAACATATTATAAATAATCTTGTCTCCATACCATCTTTTCATTTTCTGTTCATGTAACATGTTCAAAAACGTCTGTAATAATAAAACTGTTGATAAAATCAATGACCAGAAAGAGTTATCAGTTAGTATTTGTTTTAATAAATGTGTTCAAATATCAAACAAACAGCTAATTAACATTAACATGATGACAGTAGAAGGCCTCTCTCTCCCAGGATGACCCAACAGATAAAGCCTCTCCTGACCCTGGACACCTGCAGTCCTACAGAGAAAATCAGAGACCACAGGTGACAAAAAGACAAAAACATTTTTACATTTATCCACATGAGAAGATAAAAATTATACTCTCCACATAAACTATTTTTACTTCATTAAAACGTGTCAGCTGTGTAAATCCCTGAATGTAAAACTACTTTTCACAGCAGAACTACTGTGGTTGTGTGTGTAAACAGCTTCACTCTTCACCTCTAAGCTTAATAAAAACGCTTCTTTGCTCCGTTGTCCTTAAAACAAATGACAAGTTTAATTCCACACACACACACACACACACACACACACACACACACACACACACACACACACACACACACACACCAAAAGCAATAACTGGGACCCGTGAAGCAAACTCGTTTTTGCTGATTTCTGCCTAAAATGTAATTAAAAAACAAATATACAAACGAAAAATGTCTATAAACAGAACCACTTTCAGCTTAGTTTTCTACCGCTATTTTTTTAACAAAGCCTGCTGGGATCAAGCTAGTTTACGGTGGGTTTTTCCTATTACACATTCAAGCTAGTTTTCGGTGGGGCATGTTTTTGCCTTAAATTACATGAAAAAACAATTTGCGGTATTAGAACTTATATAAAAAAAACAAACCAAAAATGCCCAAACACGTATTTTATTTTTTTGACCGCTATTTTTTTTAAACTTACATTTTAAGCTGTACTGCTCTCCCACTCCATCCGCCATTGTTGTGAGTGTCGAGTCCAGCAACCGGCGCGCAAAGCATGCTGGGATACCCTTGCTCCTGTGAGGATCCATCAGACCCATCCTCGAAATGTGGGTGGAGCGAGGACGCATTTGAGGACGCGAGAATGAGTATTCTTGGAATTCGGACAGTACTCGTCGCTGCGCTGTGACGTCATGGACCTCAAAATGCGCTCTTACAAGCATCCTTCCTCTGGATTCGGACACACCCTATGTTTCCTCCTACGGGAGCTCATGAGGACAAAATGCATTTACTGATTTGGAACAAATGGCTACAAAACGTTCACCATTTATAAATGTTGTTTTACACATTTACCTCTTTGCTCATTGCCAGTGATGAAAGGAAGTCTGATGTACCATTTTGCTTTTTGACCCTAATGGGCATCCATTGGTAAGGTCTTCCTCCAATACAAAGGTACTAGTTGTTTGCAATGATTTAGGTATCTACTGCCCCTATCACCAGGGAAATTACACACTGTCACTTTAACTAGGAAATGTATTAAAAAAATGCAATTATTTTATTAACACTTAATGCCATAAAAGGGGGGTGGGGCAACAATGTATTTGAACTATATGAACAGAACCACTCTTATTATTTTTTTAATTGAATTCTTCAATAAGATGTTTAGACCAGTGTGCTCATGAAAAGAAAAACAGGATTGTGGTTATGATCCAATCTTTTTCTATTATAAATCTATTAAAATCTATTTAACAAAGTTTCTTCTCTCTTCAACACTAAAACCCCTAAAAGGAAATGGGGGGGGGGGGGGGGGGGGGGGGCATTATTGTTGATTGCATCCTCCTTGTCTCATACAGGGTGGGTTAGGTACCGGTCCTAGTCCTTTAATCAGGCTCAGCACTCAACGAAATGGTTGAAAACTGATCCAAATTTTTTTTAATAAAAAAATTATGAAAATCAATTAAGTTATTTTCAATACTATACGCTCATTATAGCTTTGTGCATCCTTCATATCTGAAAAAGATTGAAGAAAAACATGAATTTTAGCTTGGATAAAGCTAACCAAAAAACACCAAGCAAGCTTCATACGATCCGTTAGCACATTTTCCGATAATGGTTTGGTGTGTGTGTGTGGGTGTGGGTGTGGGTGTGGGTGTGTGTGTGTGTGTGTGTGTGTGTGTGTGGGTGTGGGTGTGGGTGTGGGTGTGTGTGTGTGTGTGTGTGTACTCACAGCCATCATAGATGTCAGTGGGGATGTGGACAGCCGTGTGGTTGTGATCTGTCAGGCGTTTATATGATGGATCCTCCTTGAAGTCTGGCCGAATCCTGTATTTTCTTCCCTCTGTCTCATTCGCATCCAGCTGAGAAAAAGAAATTGAAAAAAAAAAAATCAAGATGAATCCAGCACAGCCCAGGTTTCAGATATTACATCAAGCTTTTTGGATTTCATTTGCTGGACTACAGCCTACAATAAATAGTACGTTAGTATTTCTGACAAGACTTGATCCGTTGACGATCTGACTACTTAACCTTAAAAAAACCTGTCAAACATAATTACATAGAGAATTTCCCTCCCTTTATGCTGGCTTTAAAAATGAACCATTATCAACTGCTTGTTGAAAACCTTCATGCCTCTTTTTATTGTATCATCATCACTTGGGAGGAGGAGGAGCAGACAGTGACACCTTTCATATGGAGATTAGAAACTCCTGCTGCTCCTTTGCCAATTTACATCAATGAGCCCAGCAAAGATGGGGCGATATATGGCGAAATGCAATGATGAGATATGAAAGAATTCTGGGCTTAGAGGTAGAGATGTATCGGGAAAGAGAGAGAGAGAAAACCAAAAAAAGCAAGAGGGAGGGTGGTACAGTGTGAACGCTTGCTTCCTAATAAAGCAGCAGTGTAGCCAGCTCATACATCTCATCTGTCAATTAGAGGAGAAGCACAGCAGAGACCTCTTCACCTGTGAGAGGGTAGGAGGAAAAATGGCAGAGAGGAAGCTACACGGGAAGACAAAGCTAGAGGAAAAAGGAGGGGGGTTAATGCTGCAAAACGCTGAGGTAATGATGGAAAGAGAAGGTAAAAAAATTATGTGAATGTGGTGATGGAAGTAAAATAAGGGACAGAAGGGATGAGTCAGTGAAAAGGAAGGGAAGAGAGCAACAAGGTTGCATAGTCAGTGCCCTTCATCTATTTCTATCTGCGTGTTTAAGCAAAAATAAAAGAAACACTTACGTTGTCTTTTGAATTGTAGTATGCAATCTCATCATCCTGTATACAAGATAAGAATACACACATTTCACCTATTAGATGCCTTCAGAAGTGGCATGCAGACATGTATTTGATCAAAAATCTGTTGTAGGCAACATGATTAATTATTCATTTTGTGGCAATAATGGTGGTCTGTGCTTCTTTTAAGTGAAATAATGTTGGTTTTCCTACATGTGTGCTTATGCAACAGCACATTTTGTCCTAATTAACAGAACAATAAAGTTATTCACATCTTAAAAACATATCTGAGTAGTTTTCCTGAGCACAATGCCCTCCCTCATCCCCTAATAAAACTTTCCACCATCATCACGCCTCTTGAATCTCGAGACATAATGTTTCATAACACGGTGCACAATGGGCAATAAAGCATGATTAGGCAATAAAGATGTGATTATGGCTCTATTTGGCAACAGAGCCTAGAGCTCTGTTTATGGCAGGCATCTGCAAATAGATTACATCTATTCAGACAATGAAGCCAATGCAAATCCAGGCCTCATGACTGTTTGCGTTTCTTTTTTTTAATTTTATTACCTCGAACTCATCTTTCCACACATGTTCCATCTGGAATACTTCGGCAGCTGTGGCCAGTTTCTATGGAGAGAAATCAGACAAGGAGGTTAGATCAGAAATGGCCCTCAGTCTGTTTACTTCATTGCATCTGTCTAATTTTAGAAAACTTGTGCATCAGAATTCCTCCTGGAGACAAAGGAATGATTATAGTCTCATTTGAAAGAGGGTTAAACCACAGGGCTTCCACAGGCTTTGCAGCACGTTCTGCCCACTAAAGGCCACGAGGCAGAATGTCAGAATGAAAAGGTTGGAACATAGGAAAAAGTGCATGTGTGTGTGGGGGTGTGTGAGAAAAAAAACCCGTGTGAAACAAAGAATGAAAGGAAGGAACAAGGTTCAGCACTGAAGAAAAAATGACTGATAACCAGATAAAGTCGAGAACAAATGGATAGCCAGGTGAGATGGAGTTGATCAAATTTTATTTAGCTGAATAATAAACGGATGTAGGCATTGGTAAGTCAGCTTTTCTGCATAAATTAACTCAAATGTACACGGACGAATAGAATACAAAGTGGATGTGTAGCAGAAACACAAAAGTAAGATACAAGTTAGGGAATAAGTAAAAGGAAACTCACAAAATGCATTAAATATTAAGAACAAAAACTTTTTGTAAATGTTTTCCATATTGCAATTATGTTTCTATATTCATACATATTATAACAATTGCATCCAAATGCAAAATCATGACAAAGCTTTAGATGTTTTAACTCTGTAATTTAGAAAACCTGATATTTTTTCTATTGTTTATACTAAAAAGAGCTCCAATGTTAAATAACAAGGACTTTCAAATCGCCTTTCTGAGTCAGGACTCCAGCGCATTTTACTCTACAGTCACTCACTCATTCACACAGGGGTGATGAGCCACATTGTAGCCACAGCTGCCCTGGGACATACTGACAGAACTGAGGCTGGTGTACACAGGCGTCACCGGTCCCTCTCACCACCAGCAGGCAAGGAGGGGGACAGTGTCTTGCCCAATACACAACTGATAGAGCCTGGGTTCAAAACCAACAACCCAATAATTAAAGGGCAAACTCTTACAGCTTTTTTCGATTGCTAAAACGCGTTTTTCAAAACTGTACGTTTCTTTCAAAACTGCATACACAAAACCCCAAACATAACACACAAATTCCTAAACCGTGGCTTCCCTTTGCAACAAAACCCTGCCATCACATATCGTAACATGTTCCCAAAATGGAACACATGTTTTCATTTGGTAATCACAGCCACATTTTCACATGACACACACGTACCATTCATTGCTTAAACACAAGTAGCCTTTGGGTGAACACTACCAAGCATGGAAAGAACACTGAAGAGCAAAACTGAAAACACAATTGTCTAAATGGAACACAATGAATTACACACTGAATGTATGACAGGGCCCACTTTTCTCTGAGACAAACATTAGACATCACACACATTTTGAGACAAAACATTTTATTTTTATGGTCAACCCCCCCACCCCCACCCAAGTATAATCATGGGGCATCATGCCGCCGGTCTCTGTCTGGCCAGAGGGCCTCATCAACATCAAAGGCGATGTCCTCCTGGTCCAAACAGCTCTGGAAGTACCGCCTCGAGTGCCTCATGAAGCCCTGACAGGCCTCAAAGGCCGTATCTCTACAAGCCTCCTCCATGGCTTGAAGCAGTGGAACCTGGCTCTCTGGATCCCTTTCGTACACCTTCCACCTCCAGGCTGAGAAAAACTCCTCAGTGGGATTGAGGAAGGGGGAATAAGGTGGAAGGTATAAAATGGAAAACAGTGGGTGGTCCTGAAACCACTCATACACCTGGGTAGCCTTGTGGAAACTTACTTTTATGCTGCGATCCCTGATTGCAAATTGCTCGCCAGACCCGAAAGTTTAGAGATTTGAATATTTGTTTGTTGTTGATTGAAGCTTTGAGAATTTATGTGGAAAGTGTGTGTAAACCTGAAAATTGTGTGTTGTGTTTTGACAGCAAGGTAATGTGAAATTGACTTCAGAGTGTAAAGGAGGAAAATCAGAGTTCTAACACGATAAGGAAATCTTAAGTAGTGATAAATTGAGTCAAGCGATTGGGAACAGAAGAAGAGGTTGTGAAAATTGTGCCTCATTTTTGCTTTTTGAGTTTTAGCAATTGAAAAAAACTGTAACCCCTGAGCCACCGTTGCCCCAAATCATAGTGATTACGGCCCTGATGTGAAGCAATATTCATTCTCACATTCAGCTTAGGAACTTGGTTTATTGATACCGATACCATGCTGCAGCTATTAAATAACCAATTCAAAGTCATCTGACTTCCTTTGAACATATTTTAAATGTATCCCCAAAAATATACAAATTCTGTTAATCTGCCTCTGTAGGTCTGTGCACAGGCAAAGGAAGTTACAGCAGGAGGGCTAGGTTTGGATTAGATGCTTATGCTATGTGTAATGTAGTGTTTTTATTCCCTCCCTAAACGTGGAAGTCGGAGCGAATCCTTGTCCATGACCATGAGTCTGCTGTCGACGATGGCTCCATTCTTGATCAACAGTGCCATCTCTTTGGCCTCCAGTTCTGGGCATAGTTCCAGACCTGTCACCAGCTAAATATACAGCCCACTCCAGCCATAAACAAACATACACACTCCCAGGCCAATGCAGAGCAGTGATGATAAAATTATTATGTATCATGCACACACTGGGCACAAATATAGCAAGTCTTCTGAATGAGCCCCAAATAATTTTTCTCTGATCCGAGTTCCGTCAATGACTTGACATTCATCGCTTCAAAAACAGTAGTACTTTGACCAATTTCTTGTTTTTCCATCATTTACCTTTGTGTTAAATGTCCCCTACTGTTCTACAGCATCTGTATACACACACACACACACACACACACACACACACACACACACACACACACACACACACACTATATGTCTCTATCAGAGGTGTGACCAAGTCACTGTTTTGTAAGTCAGAAGTCTTTCCACTCAAGTCTCGAATCAAGTCCAAGTGAAAGACAACCAAGTCCAAGTCTAGTCCAAAGTCAATGATGTGGAAGTCCAAGTCTTTAACTTTGAATTTTCAAGTCAGAATCATGTCATCTGTCCAGCTTCAACTTAATGACTATGACATTTCAGAAACAAAGCTTCTTGAAGCTTCATTTATTTGCTCAAACAAGCAGAAAGTGCAGCTGAAACAGATTCAAAACAAAGTGCTGCAGCATTTAGCAGAACGAAGAATGATTCATGATCTTTGTCCATGTCGTGTCACTTTTGTGCTAAAATATCAAATATGCTAAAGTTATCATCAGGTTAAACAGATGCAAGTCGATTCGAGTTGCAAGTCATTGGCATTCAAATCCGAGTCAAGTCGTAAGTCTTTATAGATTTTATCAAGTCAAGTCAGAAGTTATACCATAACATACCATTCCACCTTTATTTATACAGCACTTTAAAAACACAGCCATACGGCCGACCAAAGTGCTAAACAGTCGCAAAATAACAGATAAAAACATAAAACAGAGTAATAAAATACAGTCAACAGATAAGAAACAAGCCAATAAAAAATAGTTATTAAAATAATAACTCGAGTCTGACTCGAGTCCAAGTCATGTGACTCAAGTCAATACCTCTAGTCTCTATATATAGTACTGGTACTTGAAATACTTTGACACTGGTTCACCAAATTGTATTAAAAGAGCCAAACAGGAAAAAACATCGTTGTAGCCTTTTTAGACTAATTCATATGTTTAGGAAACAATGTGTTAACTCCATAAGAAAAAACATTTAGTTCAACACTATACTTCACAACAGAGTGGTTCATCAGTGTGCAATTTAAGAATATTGAAGGTCTTGAAGAATAAAAACGCACTACAGAAGGACACTGATAAAAAATAAAAACTGCAGAAATCTAAATTGATTTTGTTATGATTAATGTAACATTCTGTTTTATTCCTCACTTAGCTGAAAATCTTAAATGACTAAACTGTCATGACTGTATTCTCTAAAATGGAATCTCTGGATATTTTAGGGTTTTTATATTAGCTGAAAACAATATTTGTTCTGTAACAAATGGTAAAATGTTCAAAGTAAAGGCAACATTTTGAAAATATTTAAAATCTATAACCTATCAGGAGGAAAACCTTTGGTTAAAGGGATATTTAGCAACATTTTCATTTTTTTAAGTCATTTTCTTGAGCCAGTCTGTGCTAAAATGACCCTTTAAAGCATGGCTATTCAAATCCGGGGCTTTGAGGGCCGGTATCCAGCACGTTTTGGTCTTAAACCTGCTTCAACACATCTGATTTCAATTAGAAGGTGATTAACAGGCTTCTGTAGAGCCGGATGAGGTTCTGCAGAGGTTACTCAACTAAATAGTGTGTTGGACCAGAAAAACCACTAAGACGTGCTGGATACCAGCCCTCGAGGCCTATAATTGAATAGCCCTGCTTTACAGGGTTAACAAAAGGCTACCCAGCTCCATATGGCCAGAATATTCTACTTGCAACCAAAAAATGGAATTGATATGCAGGAAATGTGCTGGAAGCAGACTGCAGCACCAGGTATGTTTTAGATCAGTGGTTCCTAACCTGGGGGTCCCGACCCCCACAAGGGGGCGCTAAAGCCTCTCAGTGGATCGCCAGGACCTCTCCACTTTAAGGGGTTAAAACTTCATTACTTTTTTATAGCCTACATTTTGCTCACATTTTTTTCATGAGTGAAAAGTTTACTGATATTAAGACAGGAAATAATTAGTACAGAAAAAGTAACACAGGTTTAAGAACATTTTGCTCAGCTCACTGTTTTATTTTCAAGGGTCAAAAGTTCATTAAAGATAGGACTGGTTGATTAATCACAGCCTTTACAGTAAATAATCTAGTATAAACAGTAATATACACATTTAAGTACATTTTGCTCAGTGTATTTTTATGTGTCAAATGTTTATTGAAATGAATGATTGATTTATCAGTGTTTACAAGAAACAATGTGTTCAGATTGAAAAGAAATACAAACTGTCAAGCACATTATGCTCTGTTTGGTTTTGTTAATGA